CAATGATATCAATAATTTATAAATTGGACCGCCCAACCCCAAGATATTAAAGTTTGCTACTTAAAGTTAGATTGCTAATGGCAAAAGCGGCGAGGTGCGTATCAAATGTCCGATAAGCAATCATGGAAGAAAAGAATGATCATGCTCAAGGCTTGGCGAATCTAACGATATCATGAATATTTAAATTGGACAGTTCGACACCAAGATATTTGAGCTCAAAGTTAGATTGCTAATGGCAAAAGGGATGAGGCGACGGACCTTTTATACGCGCCCTGTCCCTTTGCCATTGGCAATCCAGCTTTAAGCTTAAATATCTTGGTGCCGAACTGAAACGAAAATAAAATGAGCCGCTCAATCGACCTCGAAAACCCCTGGGTACAAATTTACAGCTGAATATCTTTTTGTACGATTATTATTGGACACTTGATACGCGCCCCGCGCCTTTGCCATTGGTAATCCAACTTTGAGTTCAAACATCTTGGTGTTGGGTTATCCAATTTATAAATTATTGATATCATTAGATGCGCCAAGTCTTTCTCTGTCGATTGGTACAAAAACTATTTAAATTGAACAGCTTAACACCAAGATATTTGAGCTTAAAGTTAGATTGCTAATGGCAAATGATTGCCAAATGTTATGATCATATTCTTGTTTCAAAACTATCAACATTGTTAAAGGAATCAATTTGTTTTACAGCAATTTGTTTTATTTTGATTAAATAAAAGCTCAAAAAGCAATCGAATCAACAAAAGTCTATGAGAAAGTTTGATAAGAATCGAAACAGATTGATAGTCAGCTAGCTGTTTTGCTTATAAACTTTATCAGAATAAAATCTAGATACTAATATTCAAATAAAACTCAGCCTATTTTTGACTTGACTAGTTGACTGACAGCTTATTTTTTCAAAATAATCAACTTTAAATCGAAATTCTGCCCTTAAAAAAAGCCTTAAAAGATAGCCATAAAAATGATGGGTTTCAAAAATGGAAACCAATCTGAAAGACTGATTTTTCGATCAAATCTACACTCTTTTTTTCACCAAATAAACGAGTTCTTGTCAATAGAATTGAGTTGGCGATAACTTGACGTTGGCTTGACAAAGACTTCATCCTTTGTTCGTCCTTTCTTCGTCTTTCATGGTCGGATTTGTCAAAGAAAATTTGTTCTTTCTCCTCAAAGCCGATTGAGCCGATTTCAGTGTATAAAGAAGCGATTTTGGGGAAAAAAAGTGAATAACTGGTTTACTTAAAAAGTGAGATTTTGAGTTGATTTTGCTATTTTGAGAGAAACTTTAATGAAAACTGAAAAAGCGGGGTAGGCTAGTTTCCGAAATTTTTCGCAAATGATTTGAAGAAATGAAAAAGAAACGACGACGCGACGCTCCCATCGACTACCTTCAAATGGTGACGACGTCAATTGGAATGCGACGTCGCTCGAAAATTTACATTTAACAATAAGATAAAATTAACGTTTTCTTTGCTTAACGTTTTCTTTCCTTAACGCTATCTTTACTTAACGTTTTTCCCCTTATACATCTGCAAAAATTCGATTGGGTCCTCCAATTTTCCCGCCCGGCTTGTTCACCAGATATTCCACGCAAAGCTCCCTCATGTCATAACTTTCTTCTAAGTCAGCCAATCTTTATGATTTTGGTTTCAATTTGTAGATCTCAATAAGTGCAACAAAATGACACCAACATCATAAAGATTGGCTGACTTAGAAGAAAGTTATGGTGAGTTGCGCAAAAAAAGTTGCGGAAACTGGCCTACCCCGCCTTATCCTTACAATTTGAGATTTTTAAGAATTTTTTTGGCTGTAAGATGGCTTAAATAACCTAAATGGCTTAAATGGCTTTTTGCTCTATCTAATCAGCTTAAGATGAGACATTGAAACAATTTTCCCCAAATCAATGGGTTTCAATTGGGTCCTTTTGCGCAACTCACCATAACTTTCTTTTAAGTCAACCAATCTTTATGATTTGTGGTGTCATTTTGTTGCACTTATTGAGATCTACAAAATGAAACCAACATCATAAAGATTGGCTGACTTAGAAGAAAGTTATGGTGAGTTGCGCAAATGAACCTGCGCAAAAAAAAATGCGGAAATTAGCCTACCCCGAAAAAGCTTAAAAACTCAATGTTAATCAATTTGTTTTTGATTTGATTGATTGATGAATTTGTTTTTGATTTGAATGATTGATTTGTTTCAAATTTGTCACTTTGTGAACATGATTGAAAGAAAATAAAAGAAAGAAAATAAAAGAAAGAAAGAAAGAAAGAAAGAAAGAAAGGAAGAAAGAAAAATGAATAAAAGAAAGAAAAAGTTATAGAATAAAGCTTTTAAAATCAAGAGGTTAATCGAAAGATCGAAAGGTTATCGAATGGTACTCGTGGGTGAATCAAGATGGCTTTTTAATCACTTTCCCGCACTTTGCAAAAGAGTTTGTTTGTAGAAGTTTGTAGACGCTTGTAGAAGCTTGTAGAAGCTTGTAGAAGCAATTGCCGGGTTTCATTTCTTCGATCTTCAAATAAAAACGAATTTATACTGATTTTAAGCCATTTTTCTATAAAAACTACTTCCCATAAAAACTGTAATTAGTTTTAAATTTCAAAATTCCATTCAAATTCAATTTAAACTCAATTCAAATTCAATTTAAACTCAAAAAAAAGCAGAAGCTCAAAAAGAGTTGAGATTTTTCCGTGAAAACTTTTGAGTTGACAAACCGGGAGCTATTGCTCGGAAATCCCAAATCCATCGGAAAATCCAAAAGTCAAAAAGGGTCATTGGGAAAGGAGAAGAGAAAAACGAGTCGATTTTGTGGAAAGATTTTTGGGGAAAAAGAATTGAAGGGGATTGAACTGCAGACTGACTGTAAGAGTCACCGCCTTCTAAGGATTAACGGATTTGTCCGATAGAGTCAGGCTAGCTCTACTCGATGAATCTTTTTCGCTTTTTGAAAAGGGGACTTCAAATTCCCTACTGCAATTTGGAGGAAAATTAGAGGAAATGTGCTAGGCACAAGCATGAATAGTCAACAAATGCTTATTGCCTTGAAACTGGAGGAAAATTAAAGAATTATCTGGCCTCACCTTACCTTACCTTACTCCTTACCTGGCTAGATGGCTAGATGGTCAGCTACCTGGCTAGATGGCTAGATGGCCAGCTACCTGGCTAGATGGCTAGATGGCCAGCTATCTGGCTAGATGGCTAGATGGCCAGCTATCTGGCTAGATGGCTAGATGGCCAGCTATCTGGCTAGATGGCTAGATGGCCAGCTATCTGGCTAGATGGCTAGATGGCCAGCTACCTGGCTAGATGGCTAGATGGCCAGCTATCTGGCTAGATGGCCAGTTAAGGAGTAATTCTCTAATTAAGGAGCCAAGCAAGGAGTCTTGTCTCTTAAGCGGAAGGTCGACGGTTCAATTACGCTGGCAAGATAATAGGCAAGATCTTTCTCCCATCAAGTGGGGTTTTCTTTCTTTCACAACATTTAGGGTAATAGGGGTAATAGGGATAAAATAGGGGTAACGACGGCTGCAGTTCCATAAAAAATTGTGTTTTTAGACCTACAGTACTGGACAATGAAATATCATATTTGAAAAAAAGATCGTCACTTTCGCGCGTCTGTAACTCTCTTGTCTTTGAGTTTAAACTATTAGTGTTATACGTTTTCTGAAAGCTCTTTTCAAGGGCTACACAATGGTAATATTAATATTTATAAATACGGTAAAGACAAGGGAGTTACAGACGTGCGAAAGTGACGCTCTTTTTTCAAATATGATATTTCATTGTCCAGTAATGTATATGTCTTATTATGTATCCTTTTTTGTATCACATTATTGGCTTTCAATAAATGTATTTTTGAAAGATCAGCTTTTAAACTGGCTTTTTTTTAAAAAGTTTGGTGATAAGCCTTTGTTTCATTTCATTAATAAAGTATCTATCATCATAAGCCTTTTTTTTACAGGAGTAATTCTCTAATTAAGGAGCCAAGTAAAAAGTCTTGTCTCTTAAGCGGATGGTCGACGGTTCAATTACGCTGGCAAGATCAAAAATGTTATGGAATTATTATTCTAAAAAGAACTATTAACTAGTGTACAGAGTGATTCAAAATTTCTCGTACAACACCGCGCACAAGTGGTCGACCACGGCACCGTGATTGGCAGCGTGATTTCGACCACTTGTGCGCGGTGTTGTACGAGAAATTTTGAATCACTCTGTACACTAGTTAATAGTTCTTGAATGCGTAAATAAACAAGGAAAAGGATATTTAATTTCGAGAAAATGTTCCAATGTAGAATGCCGAGTTTCAAGTTTATTCAAGATCTCTTTAGTTGCTGTTCTTTAATCATTCTTTAATCATTTCTTTAATCATCACCTCTGTTCACTTGCAAGATATCATTGTACTCTTGGAAACTTTTAAACCTCAAAGTCTTACTTAGAAAGTTTAATAATTATCATATGGTAATTGGCAATTGACTTATAAATGGTTCTGCAAGTTTCTGCAAGCAATTATGGTTCAGGGAAATTGGCGTTTGGCTTCATTGACTCATAATTTGTCTGCTGAAGTCATTAGGAAATTAAAACACATAAATCTTGTTATTTTCCATTCGATTTATTGATTTATTGATAAAGTATTCTTAATGAAGTACAGTGTTTCATAAAAAAGCAAATGTAAAACCTGTTCAACTGTAAAGCCTCTTCATAGTTCTTTCCCCATAATCCCTATAATTGCAAAAACCTTTAGAGTTTAGAAATCATGCAAAACGGTATTCTTTTTACAATCCCCAAGTCCTTTTCCATTATCGTAGCTGATTTCCCTTTCCCCCTACAAGTTACACCAAATGACACCCGCAAGGCGGCGCGATTTCCCCACGGGACGCGTCTCTTTTTGTGCTCCATTTGCAAAATGTTTCGTTTGTTTGCGCTCTCTCTGCCGAAATATTGTGCTTTCTTTGCAACCATTTAATGATAGCTTATTGTGGAATTTAGAAGAGAAAATGAGAACTCGAAGACAATCGGCTATTGGTGGACCAACACCCGCAAATATTGATGTCGAGGGTGGAGGTGAAGAGGAGTACACGCCACCGGTGGGTTATTTTTAATAGTCTACTATATATATATTTTTTTAAACTATCGTTTAAGCTAGATCAATTATAAATTTCTATTGTCTACGGGGAACTTAGTAACATATTCGCCGGTATTTTGGGCGTCTACTATATATTCTTTTTAAATTATCGTTTAAACTAGGTCAATTATGAGTTTCTATTGTCTACCGGGAACTTAGTGACATATTCGCCGGTATTTTGGGCGCAGAATCGCGGAGTCGTTCACTGTTTTACGCGTGTCAACACCGATTTCACCTTGAGAAAATAGAAACAACTAGTTTGCAACCAGTCATACTACTTTCAACTTTAATTTACCATTTCCCAGATCTATTTTTCTATGATCTAGAACAAAACCAGCTTTTGTGATAAACCTTTTTTAAAGCATTGAATTTTAGTCTGGCGTGCGAGCAAAGCGTGAAGTTTGCCCTTATGGGTGTCAACGACTCGTCGCCCCACGAACCATTGAAATCCATCGAACACAAGGAGTGAGTTTATTTTATTTCTAGTGATAAGAAATTCTTGGATTACTAGTAGATTGGATTTTTGCTTAGTACATTGACTCTAAGCCTTTATAATTGATCAAATAACCCGCGCAAGCAAAGCAGTGATCAAAGATTTGTTTCAAATTTGCTAAAATACTTAGGGAAATCGATTTCATTGGAAAAACTGTAGAAAAATTGAATGCTAAATTGTTAAAATGCTATGAATTTTAGAATTGAATGCTTTATCAATAGAAACATTTTTAGTGTCGAGGCTTGCACGAGGAACCCTTCGGCGAGGCGGATCGTAGAAGAAATTATTTATGTGGTGAGTCTTTTCGGCTTTGAATTTGAAGCATTATAATAAAATTTTAAAGCTACATCCTTATCTACGTTTCTTGGAAACTATCTTTAAAACCTATCTCCATTTTCAGCGAACCAAAAACATTTTCAGCAAACTTTCAGGTGTTTGCTGTATGGAGTTCCACACGCGACGCGGTTTCATGGATCACATGAACGATGAACACGATGTGGCTGCTAGGATTCACGTCTTGGATTTCCCAAATCGAGAAATGTTTGAGGTTTGACTAAAGGGTTAAATGAAAAGCTAATTTGGATAGTTTTTTTTTGCCTAATTCCCCATTTTAGCGTTTCTTCCATTGGCTCGAGGTACAGGGTGGTGCCAATTTTCGCACTCGTTCCGGCGCAAAGCGACAATTGACCGGAAAAAGAGGTTGATAATGGTTAATACTGTAAAAAGACAAAGAAATAAGGAGTTGATCTTAAACACAAAAAGAAAGCCAAGCCAAGCCAGCCTTTTCCTATAAAAAGACTTCACGATGTAGAAAAGGTTGCACTTCAAGGCTGAAAATCATTTTTGAAAACGACTTTTACTATTTAAAAAATTCTTTAGTTCTATAGACCAAAGCACTGCAAAAAAAGTCTTAAGAATACAAAGAAAATATGAAAAAATCATACCTAACCCTGCTCCATTTCAGCGATGATGTTCCGGTGCAACAGAACGGGTTATGTCGAGTCACAAAGCGCCGCCGAGCGCCGAAATCGGTCAGTTTATTTCAAAACATTCAGTTATTTTCAAGTTTCAAATGGATTTTAAATATTTTATTCATCAAATTTGATACAAAAAAACAAAAAAAAAGATGCTCAAAAATGCAAGTTTTATTTGAATTTGATTACAGAGAAAAACTCGGGCCGGTTCGCTGTGGCTACTCTTGCACTGCCTATGTTCAAGTCACTTTTCACGAGGAGGGGTGGGCTTTTAAAGTTTCAGTTTTGGATTTTGGATTTAAAAATACATAGAAAAATGAGGAAAATATTTTAAAAATTAGAAATTTGATAGGAAATAGGAAAAATTTTTTCAAATTCAAATTCAAATCAAAAGGGTTTCAAATTGTCAGAGTTGTCAGAAATGAAGCTAATAATTTGATAAAAAAAAATACTACAACTCATGCCGGTTACTCCCCCGACTTGCCCTTCTTTCCTGAGTGACCACGCGGTAATTGACGTGCGCTTTTTCGTCCTCGTCCGGTGAAATCCATTTGGTTTTTTGCTTCAAATAGCGATAGCATCGATAGGCTGAGAAAATCAGTGCCAATGCGATGCAAAAGAAGAACGCGAATAGGGTGTATTGAAACCAGTCCTGAATTTCGAACAAGTTAATAACCAAATAGATTTGTAATCTAAATCTATCTAATCTATCTAAATTGAAAATTGAATTTTTCTTTTCTTTAATATCATAGATAGAATTGTGTCTGTTTGCTCAAATTGATTTAAATTCAGCAAAAGATTTTCTAGGAGAATTCAATGTTAATTCTAAACAAAGATTAAGCACGTTTGGTCTAGTTAAGCAGTGGAAGATGAAAAAAAGATGAAAAACTAACGGTAAAGATGCCGAAAGGCGTTTACTTTGAAACTTTTCCAGTGTAACTCTTTTGCAACTCTTTCATTAATGACAACTGAACCTTGAAAAAAGAGGAACTTTGCAATTCCCACTTAAAAACTTTAGACCGAACGAAACTTTTATTCGTAGCCTTGATCGCAATAAAGCCCCTTTAAAGCTCCTTTAAAGCTCCTTTAAAGTTCCTTCGTAGCCATGATCGCAAAACGTATTCTTGTTCATGCAAAAGTTCTCGTGTTTCAAAGTTCAATGTTTCAAAAAGTAAGGCTTTTCGAGATTTTTCACTTTAAGAGAGCTCTTTTCCTTTTACCTCATATCTTAAACAGCACTGTGTCCGATTGAATCCACAGCACTCATACCAGAAAAACCACCACGCGGTCGGGCACTCTTCGGGGTTCAAATCACTTAGCGGATAAGTTGGGCAACGGAGTCGCGGTGAGGTGCTCACTTGGTGGCTGATCTATATATTGAAATCTATATATATTGAATTGTTCTTTAAAGATTTGATTAGGCAACAGAAGATCTTATTGTTGAACTTATCTTGTCTGGGAAGGGCTTAGGCTTAGGAAACTAAACTAGGTTATTGAGAATTTCTTTAAAGGATAAAAGCTTTTTATGTTAGGAAGCAAACATAACAATAGAACGATAGTTTTAACGAAATCTAGCAAACAGGATTCTTTTCTTCTAGAGACATTTTTCGAATAAGGCTGGACTGGGCAAGATCAATGCCAAGCCAGAAATCAGTCCTGATCTTGCCTGACACAGATTTACTGCCCAGATCCAATGGCTTGGCTTTAGCCTCGTCCGACCTCCAGTTCAGAATCGAACGTCCAAAATTGAACTGAAGGTCGGACGAGGCTGAAGCCAAGCCATTGGATCTGGGCAGTAAATCTGTGTCAGGCAAGATCAGGACTGATTTCTGGCTTGGCATTGATCTTACCCAGTCCTTCCAGTTCAGAATCGGACGTCCGAAATTGAACAAAAATCTTCGTTCCGTTTCAGACGTCCTGTTCGGAACAGGACGCTTTTTTCGTTTGAAGTTGAAGTTTTTGAAGAAACTAAGTTGAAGTTCAGACCCTACTTGAAACTAGACTGTTTAAAGCCAATTTGCAAATCTATTTAGCTGATCCAATCATGAGAAATTAAGAGTTTCCACCTAAACAATGCAAAAGAATCGAAAATTACCGTAATTTTTCTTTGACGATATACCCCAATTGTTTTCTGTTATCTAAAACTCACCCTAGTGGCCATTTCTCTTATTCCAAATGCACTTTATCAAGTGTGTTGCATTGAATGAATCTAAAATTTTCAATAAGAAACATATGCAATGAAAAAAACTTAAAAGTTGTACCCGAAAAAGCCAAAGAGGTTAGAAATCTTTTACCCTCGAAATCCCAAGGGAAAATCATTCAGGAAAAGAGGAAATCCTCGAAAAGAAACCTTTTTAAGTCTAGAATCAAGATCGATGGGCTGAGAATAGAAAAAGGATTGGAGTTTAGTCTAGCTGAATAGTTTATTGTAAGATAGTCGGTAGCTGTGACAGCTAACTATGACACAGTTAACTATGACACAGTTAACTATGACACAGTTAACTATGACACAGTTAACTATGACACAGTTAACTATGACAATATCACCAGTTTCCGCGTACTTTGTGCTTTAGCAAACGCTTGATTCTTCATTTTTCTCCATTCTCGATTCAATTGTTTCAAGTTTCACAAGCAAAATCGGGTTTAGCCGTTATTAATTCCCTATCGGCTATCGGCTAATCCTAAAAAAATTGTCAAGTTTCAAAAAAACCGATATGAGCACAGTAGAGCTGATTCTTTGAAGTAATTTTGTTAGAGAAAACACTTTTCTTGGTGCAATCAGTTCCATTTTCTTACAGGAATGAAATTTTTGTAAGAAAAATGGAGAATTGAGTGCGGTAAGTGTTCGTTTACATTTTTGAGCACAAACTTCTCAAAGATCTGAAAACAAATGGACATTCTTGATGAAAAGTTGAGAAAAAAGCCCGTACTTCAAAATTTTCTAGTTTCAAGTCTAAAGCAACACTTCTGGCTTAATTTCCTCACAATGACTAATTTGAAATTTTAGAAATAGACTAATAGAAAAGGCTCTCCAGAAAGTCTTTTCGTTACATTTAGTCACAGGCTTACAGAATATTGCTTTTTAAGTTGACAGTTAATTGTTGTTGATGTTGACAGTTAAAGATATGAAAAGTAGAGTTTTTTGAAAACAAAAGTTTCAACAACATTATCATCAACTTTAGTAAGAGTAATGACGTTGAAATTGTTAGGGAATCGTTTAATGAGTCGAATTTGAATAACTAAAACTCTTATCACATCGAAATAAAGTTGATAAAGTTGAAAGTTTAGTAAAGATTTGTAAAATCTTTCTAAGTCTGAGCAAATTGAGACTTGTTGTGTCTTCATTGTGTTTGTTTTTGGATGAATTGTGGGGAGTGAATGCGTGTCCTGATTGGGTTTCCGGTTTGATTCGAGCAGCTAAAGAAAAGCTCAAGAGAGAGAGAGAGAGAGCCTCTGGCCCATCTCATGACTTTACCCCATTTTCGTCTCTCCTTTCTTTTCCACTACAAGCCCGTAGCTAGGATTTTGGTTTTAGAGAAATCGCTAGAGTTTTATCCAGAAGCACCAAATCAATTTACACCCAAAGAAGAAAAGGAAAAGAAGAAAGAAAAGAAAGAAAAGAAAAAAAAGCAAAATCTTTAGGCTATGTCATTATGGTTATCAAAAATCAAATCTGTTCAAGAGCTAATAATAAATTTTCAGCCACTGCACAGCGACATTTTGTGGTGATCACTATGGACACGATGCTCGTTTACGGGTGCCACTTGGAGTGAAACATCTCATCGGAAGGTGAGATCAGAATTCTCGATCAAATTTCATTTTAATCTCTATATTTCAGATATGTCTTTGATCAAGATATGAACTTTGGCGATATCGTTCGACTATTGCATTGTGCGTTTTAAGTTCAATTTTTAAACTGAGCGGCTAGTGAACTTTGTTAGGGGCTAGTGACTTGCTAGTGAATATTGTTATTGACTAGTGACTTGCTAGTGAACATTGTTAGTGACTAGGGACTTGCTAGTGAACATTGTTAATGGGCGAGTGTGAAAAAGAACTTTTTGGACTCTGTACCTGGATTTAAACTTGTGTGTCTTGAATGTGATCAAAAAAATGAAATTTTATCGATAAAAACATTGAAACTTCAGTGGAAAATGAAAACATAAATGAAGAAAAAGGTCGCCTTATATAGCTGAAATGTCGCCGCGATGACAGTAGACATAAAAGGACAAATTCTAGCAAAAAAAATGACTCGTAAATAGGTGTTGATTATAGATTTAACACATTTAAAACAGTAAAAACAGTAAAAACATTAAAAACCCAATATGTTTCTTTTAGACAAATTCGCGCCATTGTGTACGGAGAACGTGTTAGCACAGCGAATTCGCATGATCGATAACGACGAGATTCGCACGATCGTTTTGGCTTTGAAAAGGTACGGTGCTTAAGAAGTCTAGATAAGAGATCTATGATCAGATATCTATGGTCAAATATCTATGATCAGATATCTATGATCAGATATCTATGATCAGATATCTATGATCAGAGATCTATGATTAGAAAAGATCTCTAATTTAAGCTTCTCTAAGCTCTCAAAGATTTAAGATCGATTCAAATTTTATAAATTCCTTTAGACAAATCGAGAACGGTACGCCGTTGCCGGAAGCGGAAGACATTTGGGATGAGGAACTGTTGGATAAGGTTTTCGCTTGTTGGTATTTCATTTTGATAATTTTTTAGGCTCAAATCGATCGTCCTTGGATCACGCAAAGGAATTTAAGGCCTGGAGACAAAACGACCGAAGAACTGGCAAGGGAATTGGTGAGTTTTGATAAAGATTGAACTAAAAAAAAGGTAATCCTGAGAAATTCTATTGTCACTGTGCAAAATTGCGATGTTTATGCTAAAGTTGAAACTTAAAAGCATTCACGATAAAGTCATTTTTGGATTGGCTGCCATTCCAGATGACAGTGATCTAAAGAGTGATCAAAAAAGTTCCCGCACACTTTACAAAGCTTCTTGAAAAGGCTGGAAATTTCTGATCCAAGTGTTTTACGGTACTTGTCGGTTATACATTCACACAGACTCATCTCGGTTAAGCAAGGAGCTGACAACTTGTGAGCGGTGATGTTCAGTGAAGAGAGTGCTGAAGTGATCAGTCAATCAGTCGAACGAGAATCGATAACCGAGAAGACTCGGATGGAGATGCTTAACCGAGATCTACTGTAGATGTCTCTGTGGATTTATAACCGCCAACTACTGTTGCCTTTAGTTACGATAGTTAAAATTTTAAAAAAACAGACTTTTGAATGGGTTACGATAACTCTTACTATAAGAAAGATACAAGATAAAGTATAAAAAGGGTAAATCTATGCTTGAAGTAAGGATCCTGTAATCTACTGTAGACGGATACTGTTTTCTAAAAGATGCTCTTATACATTTTCCTATTGTACATCATAGTTGCCTTGGTCCTTGTTGGTTATACATTCACATAGACTCTACTCGATTAAGCAAGAAGCTGACAATTTATGAGCGGTGATGTTCAGTGAAGAGAGTGCTGAAGTGATCAGTCAATCAGTCGAACGAGAATCGATAACCGAGAAGACTCGGATGGAGATGCTTAACCGAGATCTACTGTAGATGTCTTTGTGGATGTATAACCGACAATTACCTGATTTACTTAAAGAAATGTTCATCAGAATTTCAGCTTCATAATACTATAAAACGGGGAAATTTTGTTTTAGCTTTCATTTAGAAAATAAATCATTTACAAGTGTGCGGAAACTTTTTGATGATCTATGTTTTTCAGCGATCTATGTTAGCTGTAGATCTGAAAATTTGTAACCGAAGGCATTCTGGGATAGAGAATCTGAATCCGTTATCATTTTTTAAGCAACTTTAATTCTCGAGTCAATCGGCTATCACAAAACTCTCTAAAACTTGGGTAATTAAACCAAATTGAAAAAAAAGGCGAAATCGAATTTAGGTTTTGCCTTTAGTTTTGCCTTAGTTTTGCCTTTGGTTTTGCCTTAGTTTTGCCTTAGTCTTGCCTTAGTTTTGCCTTGGTTTTGCCTTAGTTTTGCCTTAGTTTTGCCTTAGTTTTGTCTTAGTTTTGCCTTAGTTTTGCCTTAGTTTTGCCTTTGTTTTGCCTTAGTTTTGCCTTGGTTTTGCCTTAGTTTTGCCTTGGTTTTGCCTTAGTTTTGCCTTAGGTTTTGCCTTAGTTTTGCCTAAGCCTTTTTCCCCTGGTTCAAATTTTCATTTTTAACTTTTCAAATCAAATTTTTCAAACGAAATACCCAAAAAAAGCTGTTTTTCTTTGAAAATTAATAACGGATTCGAATTCCTTGACCTTAAAAACCCTCTTGTTCATATTTTCAGCCCAATCTGCCTTAAAAAAAAGTGCTAAATCTAGATACGGCCTACCGGTGAGCCGTATCATCGCCAATATATTAAAAGCATTCATTTCCAGTTTCGGTTTTTAGATTTCAGTTCAGCAACTTGAAAGCTTTAGGTCAAATAAAAAAAAAGTTTTTTCTAGGATTGGCCCGTCCCGTCGGTGTTTGTGGCAAAGCAGAAATCGGCTGATGGCGAGTATCGACCCGTTGTGCACATGTTGCTAGGAAAAGAGCAAAGAGGCGACGGGGAAGATGCGGAAGATGATGAGGACTCGGATCATCGGTAATTCTATGATAGTTGTCGGTTAAAATGTTACATTAAGCAGCTAGACTGAGCTAGACCCGTTTGTCGTCTTGTTAAGATTGAAACCAAAAACTTCTAGAAGCAAGCAAAGAGCAAGGCCATATAATGCCAGCCGATTGAAATTCCAGAAAAACAAAGTTTCAAAATTTATGTAACAGTGAACGGATTTTCGTCTTCGTTTGATTAGATTAGATCTTTTTCATCATCAAATTCAGCATCGTTTCCGTTGAGAAAAGCCCGTCCTTTCAAAACCCTGTCGATTATCATTTGATCCCCGTCGGAGAGACAGGTTTGAAAAATTGATATCATATTTTCTCTAATAGTAGTGCACTCCGGCGAGCCGAGTTGATCACTATTTTACGGCTTTCAAAGTTTTCCTAGAAGCTCAACACTCTAATCCTCAGCAAGATCTCATCGTCAGCTACATTTTCCGATCCCACAACGATAGGTTCTGATAAGTGGTTCTCGAGATTTCGAGCAATTTAGACGACGCTCGCTGCACTACTATTAGAGAAAATACGGTAATATTTGTCGGCAGTAAAATTTAAAGCGCTATTTTTGACAAAAAAAAATATAACGGTCTCCCAGATGGATTTTTTTTGGAGGTCGCGGATAAGAAAATAATTTATATAGAAAATAAATGGATGAAAACGACAATTAAAATTTTTAAAAGCATAAAAAGCATAAAAAAAGCATCAAAAGATTGTCAAAAGATTAGAAAGCATAAAAAAGAATCACCGTAAATGCTGTATTAGAATGACACCCTCCAGACCCTTCGAAATCTTGATTTTAGATCACCTTGTGGGGGTTCTATGAATAGATCTAGGCCTAAAACCTACAACCGTATTTTCTCTAATAGTAGTCCACCCCGGCGAGCCGAGTTGATGCCTATTTTACGGTTTCCAAGCTTTTGCAAAAGCTCAACACTCTAATCCCCCGCTAGATCTCATCGTCAGCTACATTTTCCGATCCCACATCGATAGGTTCTGATAAGCGGTTTTCGAGATTTCGAGCAATTTAGGCGACGCTCGCTGCACTACTGTTAGAGAAAATTCGGTAACATAAGCATCACAAATCAAATAAACAAATTCCAGTTGAGTACGAGACAATTAACGTGGAAGAAGTGGAAGGAGGAGGTGAGTTGATCTCTCGACAATACCCTGGTGCAGCTGCAGCCCTGAGACGTGGACGACCCCGTGGAGCCACTCAAAGAGCGACGATCTCGCCTCATCGATCGAATCTCACGCGAATTCTCTTATCGGAAGCAAACTACATCAAAACACTTGTAGCGGTGGGGGTTTTTGATAGCTTTAAAGCTACGAGTCAATCAGATTTCATCGGGAAATTTGGCGATTTGAAATTATTGTAGTCATTATTGATTTATTGTAGGCAAACTTCGATTTTTCTGATTTTTCTGTCCAGAATTGCAGGATTCACCTGGAATGATATTAAACTTTTAAATGCTCTAAATCTAAATGCTAAAGGCTAAACCCTAAATGGAAAAGCTATTTTGCTGAATTTAGCGAATTTGACCGAATCTGTTGTAGATTAAAATTGTGGAGATTGCCAACTTATACCTGTGCGACAGGATTGCAATCGCCTCAAGGCATCAATGTTTCTTCCAACAATTCTATCGACATACTTAAGAAAGCTCTTCTTCCGTGAGCCAAAAATCAATTTGAAAACGGGATCTGGTGTTTTATGCAGGATGATGCTTTTGCTCACAAGACTCCAATGGTTCGGGGCGCAGCATTTTCCCGATTTGGCCATTTGGCTAACTTTAGTCGTCACCCAGAAGTCCTGATCCGATGGATTTCAGTGTTTGGAATGTTCTTGAAGCAAAAAAAACGTGCTCAAAACCGCATTCCAGCTCGAATCGCCTAAGAAATCTCTTCAAAAAGCTCGATAAACTCGATCCCGCTTAACATTTGGCCACAGTGGATGCATTTCTACTCATAGAGATCTTTTTAGAAGGAAATAGTTTCAATAATCTCTGTAGTTTCTATCGTAGTTTCTATTATAGCTTCTATTGTAGTTTCTATTGTAAAAAAACTGATCTGTTGAAAGTCCAAAAACGGCATTGATTGCAAGAGCATCGGGTTCAAGTTTTCAACCGTTTCCTCGACCGTTTTCGGGATGAAAAGACCCCCGCTGATTCCTGTACCGCCGGCAAAAGGACCCACCAGCGTGGGGGTATAGCTCAGTGGTAGAGCGCTCGCTTAGCATGCGAGAGGTCTGGGGTTCAATTCCCCATACCTCCACAAAAATCTTTTTGTAGGGAAAAGCTTTAATGGGGATTTGATGATATCGATTTTTGAGCCACTAGACAGACTAAAAGAGTTCCCCGACTAGAAAAAGACAATTTCGAAGCATCAGGACAACGTTATTTCGTGTACGAACTGAATTTTCTTAATTTTCTTAGTACTTTCACGGATAACTGAGTCTCTGCTGCTTTTCATAGTGCAATCGGCTTTTATAAAAGCGACAATTTTCAATTTTCAGGCAAACGTCACTTTCCAAAACGATCAAGAGCTGATGAGATGGATTCATAAATTGAGAGAAGTGCGCAAGGAATTGAACGATTCGAGTAAACGGGAAGGGCACACAATGCAAAGTTTGTCGATTTTTTGGCCATTTTTTGGCCATTGTATAGAAAAATTCAAAGTACTATCTATATCTATTGAATTTTTAATGATTTAAACATTGTCTAGATGTGATTAGACTTGAAAAACTTGCAATTCTTCTCGTTTAGCCCCAGCTGATGCCTATTTCGATCATTTGGTTCACGAGGATATTTTGAGAGACGAGAGAAAGGTTTACTTTGATTTTAAGTATAGTTTAGGGTCAAAAATAGAAACACACTCTTTCTGGGGCACTGAATTCTTCATTTCTTCTTGTTTCATGGTATTTATAGTCGAATCGAGCTTTACTTTACCGAAATGAAGCAGCAAAGTTGAAACTTGGCCTTTAAAAGCGTCATTAAGTATAGTTTGTGGTCAAAAATAGAAACACACTCTTTCTGGGGCACTGAATTCTTCATTTCTTCTTGTTTCATGGTATTTATAGTCGAATCGAGCTTTACTTTACCGAAATGAAGCAGCAAAGTTGAAACTTGGCCTTTAAAAGCGTCATAGTAGTTTGGGTCAAAAATAGAAACACACTCTTTCTGGGGCACTGAATTCTTCATTTCTTCTTGTTTCTGGTATTTTAGTCGATCGGCTTTCTTTACCGAATGAAGCAGCAAAGTTGAAACTTGGCCTTTAAGCGTCATTAAGTATAGTTTGTGGTCAAAAATAGAAACACCTCTTTCTGGGGCACTGAATTCTTCATTTCTTCTTGTTTCATGGTATTTATAGTCGAATCGAGCTTTACTTTACCGAAATGAGGCAGCAAAGTTGAAACTTGGCCTTTAAAAACGTCATTTCTTTCATTGTTTTTGAATGATTCATTGATTCAAAATGATTGATTTAATTGATTCGAGGATTTCCTCTTTTCCTGAATGATTTTCCCTTGGGATTTTGAGGGTAAAAGATTCCTAACCCCTTTGGCTTTGACATAATAAATATACCAGAAAATGTTTTTATTTTCAAGTACAAAGTACACGAAGAAAAGCAATCATTGCATAAATAAATTGTTGACTTTTTCCTATTACTAAAAAAAAAAAAAAAAATAAAAATAAATTTTTAAAATAAAAAAAAAAAAAAAAAAAATTTTTTTAAAAAAAAAAAAAAAAAAATTTAAAAATTTTTATAAATTTTTTTAAAAAAAAAATTTTTAAAAAATTTTTAAAAAAATTTTTAAATTTATTAAAGATACCATAAAAAAATCGGGTTTCTTGGATACTTTAACTTACTTTAAAATTGGATACTTTAACTATGGAACGATTAAACGATTAAACGATTAACTTACTTTAAAATTGGATACTTTAATTATGGAACGATTTGATTTGATTTGATGTTTTGCCTTAGTGTTGATGTTTATTTTTATGTTTATGTATACCGTAAATACTTTTATCTATAGGCCCCTCCTATAGGAGTGTCGCGTAGTCTAAGTTTACTCTCAAATAAACACTCTTACCTTGACACCAATGCTTTTGTTTTTTTGGTATCAAATAGTAGAAAGAATGAGTGATATAAGACATATTTTTTAGCAGTTGTGCTTAGAACTTAGTGCTTAGAACAAAGTTTTTCTTAAGATACCCGATTTTTTTAAGGTTTTGAATAATAGAAAAGAGTTAAATCGTGTTTTTTTAGAGGCCCTACGATACCGCTTTCACGCCAATCAATGTGAGTTTCAATTTCTTAAAGATAAATAGGAGAATTTTGAAATCGTACGAAAAAAGCATCGTTTAAAATTCAAAACTGTTTGAGGGGATGTAATTAAAACAGCTCCATAATAGAAAAAGCTTAAAATAGCGCTCGAAGAAATCGCCGTCAAATTTTCTCTTCTTTTTCTTGGATTTTTCAATCCAAGAAACCAAGCCGATACAAGTTTTATACCAAAAAAAAAAACGTTTCAAACAAATGAACTTTTAAACTCGAATTTGTGAAGTAATTCTTGCAGATCAAATCTCAATCTTATCACAAATTTAGGGAGTTAAAACAGCCCCAAATAGAGAGCTTTTGTCGTCAATTTTTTTTAGAATCCAAAAAACCAAACCGGTTCAAGTTTTATACTAAAAAACTCCTTGCTTTCTTGGCTACATGATGAGTGAAACAGTTTTTTAAAAAAGTTAATATTTCAGAAAAATTTAGCTCTCAAATTTAGTCTTAGTCGAAATTCGAAACTCGAAAATCGAATTTAGTCTCTAAAGATATTCGGTTAACTAATTGAGTATCACTCGAATTGTATTCTCGAATGAAAACTAGCCGTTTAAGGACGATAGCTGCAAAAAAACGCATTGAATACCAACATAAAAATTCCAGGGAAACACCGATTTGGGAATTGTGTCCGATGATGAGGAGTTGATCACTCAAACCACTCAAGGTCACATTCATTATCGACCCGAGCTGTGGAATTAGAGAAATCGAATGTTTTTGAGGCTTTGAGACTTTGAGAATAGACTTTGATTAACGTTTTTCCGTTATTTCTTTACAATTTGAAACAAAGTTTGTTTTCACTAATAACCTTTCATTAATTACATCTTTTTTTTCCATATTTTTCCATTTTGTTCATTGCAAGATCTCATGATTCTTCCATTTTATTTTCTACTAATGTATGTATTGATTTTTGATTTGTATGTATTAAAAGTGTCATTATTTTTAATAAAAAAACTATTGAAAACAATTGGAAAAGAGCCAAAAAAAAAAAAAAAACTTCTTTTAGAGTTTTTAAAAAGAAAAAGAAAGCAAAAAAAGGGGGAGTGGGACAAATGCGACCTTTTTTTTGCGCACCCGGACATTTGCGCACCTTTTTTTCCGCACCTTGCCCATTAGCGCACCTTTTTTCGCGTTTTAAAAAAGCTCTAAAAGCTAATATTAACAAAGAAAAGCTTAAAAAAGCTCTAAAAAGCTAATATTAACCAATTTCTATTCCAAAACTTGTTTTTCTAGGTAATTTTAGGGCGTAGAATCGAAATTTTGACATATCAGAGCTTGTGGAAGCGAACGGACGGAGTTGTAAAGAAATATTCTTTGCGTGCTTGGTACTCTTCACTCAAGACACGTTATTTCGGTACTTTTCCAATATCGGGGGAGCGGTCCGATTATCGGGGGAGCGAAACGAAAATCGGGGGAGCAAATTTTGCCCCCTCGAAAAATGCATTTCCGGGACTGTATTTTCACTGCGACGTTTTTTTTTAAACTTTAACGACGATGCGCTTCTCCGATATTTGTGCGTTCAAGAAATCGACGGCAATCGATTATTTCGTCACCAAAGGAGTCATCCAGTCGTGGATTTGAAACTGTGGCGAATCGATGAAAGTCCGCTCAAAGGGAAAATATCTATTTCGCTGGGTATGTGACACTTGCGCACGGCGAAAGGTCCCCAAGCATTCAAGAGGAATTCGAGTCGATAACTTTTTGCAACAAAGCAAGCTCCCGTTCGTCACAATTTTAAATAGGACATATGTAGCGCTGCCAAAATTTGCTCCCCTGATTTTCCTTTCGCTCCCCCGATAATCCTTCCGCTCCCCCGATAATCGGACCGCTCCCCCGATATTGGAAAAGAACCGTTATTTCTTGTTTTGAGATATCTGATCTCTCTTGAACTAAAAAAGCACTTTATTCAATAGCCGATTGACTCTGAATCTTTGGGCTCTCACTTGAGCAACTTTCACACAATATCGACAATTGAATTAAAGTAACGATAAAAACAGAAACAATTTCGTCCTAATTAGGACACAACTTTCACACAAAAATGAGAGGAAAGCAGAAAAAAAAAATGAAAGATAACAAAAAACAAATGAACAACAGTTGCCTTAAATAGGCTTTAACACAAGATACTCAGCTAACAAGCTACAAAACAATAAATGATTTGGGGCGCGAAATAAAATGAAGGCGCACCGATTTCCTCAATATTTTTCCAATTTTTAGGCTGTCAGAGTTAGATAACTTTTAGTGGCTATTCGCCACAGGAGTTATACAAAGAGAAAAATCGACAATTTTCTGTAATTTGATCTAGCCGTTTTGTCTTTTGTCTTTTGTCTTTCAAATTGGTTCCACAAGCTCTGTTATGCCAAAATTTCGACTCTACGCCCTAAAATTACCCAGAAAAACAACTTTTGGAATAGAAATTGGTTAATATTAGCTTTTGAGAGCTTTTTTGAGCTTTTTTGTTAATATTAGCTTTTAGAGCTTTTTTAAAACGCGAAAAAAGGTGCGCTAATGGCAAAGTGCGGAAAAAAAGGCGCGCAAATGTCCGGGTGCGCAAAAAAAGGTCGCATTTGTCCCACTCCCAAATTTACGCGCTGAAAAAATTGAAGATGAGTGATAAGAAAGTGCAGAAAAGGGGGAAAACGCAAAACAAAAAGTGATGACAACGGGTACTAGAGGGAAGTTTTCGTAGTTTAAATAGAAGAAAATGCATACAAATTCAGAATTCATTTAAAATTAGATAACAAATTAACATCTTTTCTTATCTCTAGAAAAGTTATTGACAATTTAATTGACTTCTTTACGAATAAAACCGTTTTTGGGACTTTTTTTTGGGTGGGACAAATGAGACCTTTTTTTGCGCATCTGGACATTCGCGCACCCGGACATTTGCGCACTTTTTTTCGCTGGAAAAGGTCTTAGGAAAGGCCGTAGAGGCTGTAGGGCATCAAAAATGTTTCCATGTCAGGGAATCGTATGCGTAGATTCCGAATTTCGACAAATCAGACCACGCTGGCACGTCAAATTTGAGCTAAAAGGCAACAACTACGCCACTTAACGCTTTGCCGCAGCAAATGACCAGGTGCGCGATTGTCCAGGTGCGCAAAAAAAAGCTCTCATTTGTCCCATCCAAAAAAAAACGGTTTTATTTGTAAAGAAGTCAATTGTCAATTAAATTGTCAATAACTTTTCTAGAGATAAGAAAAGATGTTAATTTGTTATCTAATTTTAAATGAATGCTCAATTTGTATGCATTTTCTTCTATTTTCAATGCTCTATTGTCATTTTTTCGATTTTTCAAATGCAAACTACAAAAAAATCCCTCTAATCCCCGTTGTCACCATTTTTTTTTTGCGTTTTCCCCCTTATCTGCACTTTCTTAGCCACTCATCTTCAATTTTTTCAGCGCGTAAATCATTTGTATTTCTTTCCACACACGCTTCTGATCCATTTTTGGAGAGAATTGTCCAAAAACAAACTACGAACTCTTCGTTCGAACTACGTTCGCAAACTACGAGAAAAATTCCCGCTAATCCCCGTTGTCATCATTGTTCAAAATTGTTCAAAAATTGTTCTTTTCAGTTTTTCAATCATTTCTCAATCTTTTCAGAATTTGAAATCATCTCCCCAGAGTTTTTGAGAGAGTCCAATAGTCTTGAAACCTTTAAATTATCTGTAGATGATCTTGATCTTGAAGTCCTAGTGGATTCTTGACGTTATCTGTGCTACCCATATCTGTAGATGATCTTGAGCTATTACATAGATTATATCGTCTTGCTTTTTATCAGCCCTTTTCATGTTATGTGTATGAATTCATGTGTATTAATCTTAAATCTAGCGCTTAAATCTTAAATACTTTATTTCAGGTTCTGAATAGAGTATCTATATACACATAAACACGAAAAGCAACACGATATAATGTATGTAATATTTGGATTTGGACTGCCAGAATTTGGAATCATCTCCCCAGAGTTTTAAGAGAGTCCAATAGTCTCGAAATCTTTAAATTATCTGTAGATGATCTTGACCCTGAAGCTCTAGTGGATTCTTGACGTTATATGTGCTACCCATATCCGTAGATGATCTTCAGCTATTACATACACTATATCGTCTTGCTTTTTATCGGCCCTTTTCGTGTTTATGTGTATGAATTGATGTTTTTTAATCTTAAATCTATCGCACTTTATCTCAAGTCCTGAATAAAGTATCTATATGTCGTAGCCGATTATGAATTTCAGCCGATTATGAATGAGTGGGACTAGGAGCGTCCAACCATCAAGTATTTAGTATCATTCAACGCAAAATCATTAATAATTATATTAAATTTTTAAAATTAGAAAGATTGGATAAAAAGAAAAAAAATTATAGGGCTTCAAAGTTTTCTCTTGAACAAACGGTTTTTTTGCTCTAATTTTTTTTCTTTTTATTCAATCTTTCTAATTTAAAAAATTTAACATAATTATTAATGATTCTGCGTTGAATGATACCAAATACTTGATGGTTGGACGCTCCTAGACCCACTCATTCGCTCCTAGACCCACTCATTCATAATCGGCTACGACAGTTCGAAATTTTGATTGTAGATCTAACTTTTTATGCGCTAACTAATCTAATTAATCAACAATGAGTTCAAGCTTTAATTAATCAAGTTCAAGCTTTAATCTGAATTGTTAATCAATCGGTAAAGCCTTTTTGATTGTTAATCAACCAATAAAGCAATATTTTAACAAGCATTTTATTACTCAATACTCGTAACTCAATTTATAATAATATTTTCGAAAATCTCAAGCTCAAGAATTGGTGAAAAAAAGTTGTGTACAACTTTAGGCACAGCTCACGAGTTCTCGATTACTAGGGGTCCCTGTTTTGGAGTTAACGGAGTCCAAAAGTTGTGAGCTTTCTTCAACCGATCACTCCCTTTTTGCCCCAGCTTGGGCCGGTGGCTTTGTTGACTCAAAAAGTCCACGGGTTGACGGGTGGCCGACTGGCGGCAGCCCCTCCAGTTTTCTCTGAAAAAAAACGGGCTTCAAAGTTTTCTCTTGTACAAACAGTTTTATTGCTCTAATTTTTTTTCTTTTTATCAAATCTTGCTAATTTTAAAAATTTAACATAATTATTAATGATTCTGCGTTGAATGATACTAAATACTTGATGGTTGGACGCTCCTAGACCCACTCATTCATAATCGGCTACGGGGGTCCCGCCGATTTTGAATCAAACGTTGTAGCGCCGGCAATTTTTAACCTAAACTCACAAATTTGGTACCAATCGACGCAGAATTGAATTCGCTACAAGATGATATAATATTGTCCTCATACATTAAAGGGTTGCCCTAGGCGTAAACGGTTACGACATATATATGTCGTAACTGATTATGAATTTCAGCCGCTAACGAATGAGGGTATTTCCGGGCATCCAATCAAAAAGTCACCCGCATAAAAAATGTTCATAATACATATATTTTATAATAAATTTTTGAAATTAGCTCATTTGGTTCAGTAGAAAAAATTTTTTGAGCCCCCAAAGTTTAGGTTCAAAAATGCCCTAAAATGGCTATAAAAAATTTTCTACTCAGCCAAAAAACTTGCTTAATAGCTCATTTTGTAGCCAATTTGATGTAGTTTCTTAAAGTAAAGCCATCTAAAATAATTTTTCGTTGGAAGTAGGAGAAAGAGGGCGAGGAAAAAATTCAGGGCAATTCTCAAATGTGAAAACAGCGACCGAGTTCAACTGAAGTCGTTCCTCGCCCTCTTTCTCCTAGCTTTGAAAAACAAATGTTCAATGTAGCTTTACTTTAAGAATCTACATCAAATTGGCTACAAAATGAGCTATTAGGCAAGTTTTTTGGCTGAGTGGAAAATTTTTTATAGCCATTTTTGAACCTAAACTTTGGGGGCTCAAAAAATTTTTTCTACTGAACCAAATGAGCTAATTTCAAAAATTTATTATAAAATATATGTATTATGAACATTTTTTATGTGGGTGACTTTTTGATTGGATGCCCGGGAATACCCTCATTCGTTAGCGGCTGAATTTCGTAAACGGTTACGACATATATATATATTTTGTTTTTCAATCGATCATTCCATTTTCAATCAATAAGCACAACCAAGAAATTGTTTTCATTTTTGGCAATCTTCGAAAGCAATTCCCTTTCATTCTTTTCACAACAATGAAAACAATTTCACTATTTCTAAACATTTTTCTATATCTTTTACCTCTTTTTCTGTCTTTAAAGTACCAATTTTATATTAAATTTATATTAAATTTATATTAAATTTGTGACCGTGATGCGAAAAAGACAAAAAAAAATAATGCTATAATTTGTTAGATACGAAAAAGATCAGTTTCAAAATGCTTCAAAATTGACAGCTTATCACCAAGAATTCTTACATCAATATATTCACAATTTATGCTTTTAATTCGTTGAAAAGTTGCTCTAAATAGTAGAAAAGTTGCTCTAAATAGTAGAAAAGTTGCTCTAAATAGCTTTAGCTCTAAATAGCTTTAGATCGTAGCTGTTGTTCTTTTAGTTTTTACAATTCTTTTACAATTGTTTTACAATTAACAATTTTTACAGCTACAATATAAACTTAGAGCTACTATCTAGAGCAACTTAAAACAATTGTAATTCAATTGTAATTGTAATGTAATGCTCATTCGATAAACCATCACCCTGAAATTTCGGAGTATAGAAATACTATTTTGTGCTATGAGCGTAGAAATAGCGTAATGAAATGAAGCTTTCGAAGCGAAGCACAAAACAATGACTTTTGGGCTTTTCTGTGGCTTTTCTGTGGCTTTTCTGTGGCTTTTCTGTGGCTTTTCTGTGGCTTTTCTGTGGCTTTTCTGTGGCTTTTCTGTGGCTTTTCTGTGGCTTTTCTGTGGCTTTTCTATTAGATTTAATTGGACTAAAATCTTGTTTCAAAGTTAGTTTCTTGTTGCAACTTCTCTATTAATGTGATGGTATTTTGAAGCTCTCATTTAACAGATAAATTGCCTGGCTTGGTTCAGTTTATTTTGTTTTGCATTGAACTGAAAGTTCGGTTTTAAAGCTGATAACTTGATGCTGTGAAATTGTACATTAATGAATTACTCTATTACTTTGTACTTTATTACTTTGTACTTTCTTACTTTGTACGCTTACTTATTATTACTTTAGTACATTGTACTATTACTTATTATTACTTTAGTACTTTGTACTATTACTTACAATTACTTTAGTACTTTGTACTATTACTTACAATTACTTTAGTACTTTGTACTATTACTTACAATTACTTTAGTACTTTGTACTATTACTTACTATTATTTTAGTACTTTGTACTTTATCACTTTGTACTATTACTTTAATACATTGTACTATTACTTACCATTACTTTATCACTTTGTACTTTTACTTTAGTACCTTGTACTATTACATATTATTACTTTAGTACTTTGTACATTACTTTCTTCACTGACCACCTAGCCAAGTTATAGAAGAAGCTTCTCTTATCATTTACCTTCTAAGAATCTTCTAAATGATCTTACCAACCCGTTTTTTACCAACCCGATCTTACCAAGCCGTTTTTCAAACTGAAATTTAACATCCAATAAACTCGTCTAACGTCTAATAAACCCACCTAATAGTAGATTTAATATCTTTCTTTAAAAAAGATAGAATCAAGTATTTTGCTGAAATTTAACGAAATAAACAGACAATTTAGCCCATAAGATGAAAATTCTCCTATTCTTTCTTTTATTCTCTTCAATATTTTCTCTCAAAGTGCTCCAAGTGACCGATTTTCATCTCGATATAGACTATTCAATCAATGGAGATCCGTAAGTGTTTTTTTTGAAAAATAATCTCTCAAAATAAATACTAGCAAAGCAATGTGTCATCAGGCGAAGAAAACACGAGATTCCGACGCGAATCAACTCGGAACTTTCGGCGATTATATGTGTGATGCACCTGAGGTTTGCGGAAAAGCTATGGCTTAGGCTTAGGCTTAGGCTTAGGCTTAGGCTTAGGCTCAGGCTTAGGCTCAGGCTTAGGCTTAGGCTTAGGCTTAGGCTCAGGCTTAGGCTCAGGCTTAGGCTCAGGCTTAGGCTCAGGCTTAGGCTCAGGCTTAGGCTCAGGCTTAGGCTTAGGCTTAGGCTTAGGCTTAGGCTTAGGCTCAGGCTTAGGCTCAGGCTTAGGCTTAGGCTTAGGCTTAGGCTTAGGCTTAGGCTCAGGCTTAGGCTCAGGCTTAGGCTCAGGCTTAGGCTTAGGCTCAGGCTTAGGCTTAGGCCTTTGGCCTTCAAAATATTCAACTTTCAAAAGCTTATAAAACCTTTAGTTTTTTGAATTTCTCTGGTTTATTACCAGTTCAAAAACTAGGTTTGAAACTTTCAAAAACTTTTTAACTTTCAAAAAGTTTACTGGCTTTGGAAAAGCTTGATTGGAAAATGCTTGGCCTCAAAATTCAACTTCGTTAATGTTTCCTGCTCATCCGATTCCCAAAAGCTTTATTTTTTCAATTGTTTTATGCTTTGAATGCTAAAAAACAACTGCGCACCAAATGTAGTGATTATTGTTGGTTTAGATATAATCTTTATTACAGCGATAATAGTTGATTCAGTGGTTTGAGATTGGGAGAGTAGAGACACTCCACGGCACACGTCGGCAGCTCGTTCACATTGCTTTTATACGGAACTCAGGCGTTCGTCTCGTCTTGCACACAATGGAGTTGAACGGATAGCGACGCATATTAAATCTCGCACAATAGGCGTTCGTTCACATAGGTGTCTAGCTGGCCATTTCCATACGTGGCGATCTTGATCACGAGATCGTCACGACAACATGTTAATTCTAATTAAAGCTTTGAAAACTCTAAATTTTCTTTAAAAAATTATTTTTTTGAATGTTTTGAATGTTCGATGGCAATTTTAAAGTTCAAATTTGAACTTCAGCTGATTGAGTAGAGAATCTTTCTTAGAGAACGATTTCAGGGGTAGGCTAACTTCCGCCATTTCTTTTGCGCAACTGGGTCATTTGCGCAACTCGGCATAACTTTCTTCTAAGTGGACCAATCTTTATGATGTTGGTTTCATTTTGTAGATCTCAATAAGTGCAACAAAATGACACCACAAATCATACAGATTGGACCATTTAGAAGAAAGTTATGGCGAGTTGCGCAAAAAAAGTTGCGGAAACTGGCCTACCCCGCCTTATGCTTACAATTTGAGATTGTTAAGAATTTTTTTGGCTGTAAGATGGCTTAAATAGCCTAAATGGCTTAAATGGCTTTTTGCTCTATCTAATCAGCTTAAGATGAGACATTGAAACAATTTTCCCCAAATCGATGGGTTTCCACTGGGTCCTTTTGCGCAACTCGCCATAACTTTCTTTTAAGTCAGCCAATCTTTATAATTTCTGGTGTCATTTTGTAGATCCCAATAAGTGCAACAAAATGACACCAAAATCATAAAGATTGGTCCACTTAGAAGAAAGTTATGGTGGGTTGCGCAAATAAGATGACCGAAATTAGCCTACCCCAAGAGAAAGAATTGCCGTGAAATGGCGGACAAATAGGAGTACGGTAGGAGATTTGCACTTTAGAAAACACTTAAGTTAACAAATAAATAATCTGTGGGAAAGTTGGACGATTAAAAATTTTAATCGTTCAACTTTAATCAATGAATTAATTGATCGCAGGGAACACTCTCTAATCCACAGTAAGGCTTCGAAGAAAGCCACAGTAAGGCTTTCTTCGAAGTCAGCCAATCTTTATGATTCGTGGTGTCATTTTGCTTATTGAGATCTAGAAAATGAAACCAAAATCATAAAGATTGGCTGACTTAGAAGAAAGTTATGGTGAGTGTTGGTGTGCCGACCCAAAAAATTTGGGTCAGCCAGTTTTTCTGTTCTATGACTCACCTGGATTGTCTGTTCTTACCTGGATTGTCGATCGAAAAGGTTATCGGAAAGGAGAATCGGTTCCGGGGGAATTGGGAGGAGAAAATCTCCTTTGAAAGCCGGAAATTCGGGCGAACAACCAGACGAAGTGTCCTCATCGTTCATCATCAGCGAATAACTTTTTCGAAAATTCATCGAGAAACTCAAACTGGCTGAATTGGCTGATGAGAATGAGAAGAAAAAGCGAACAATTCTGTGGAGAATCCGAGAATCCAGAGCTTTTCGTAGCCGGAGACTTTTCGTAGACCACAATGAAGGCCAAAACTAATTGTAAGATGGCTTTGGGAGTTGAATGGAAACAACGAAAAGCTTATTTAAGTAAAGCTTATTTCCTGGAGCGTTACAAAGCTGTTAAACAGAGAATAATAACGTCTAATTTTGTTTAATTTTGTTTTGAGGAGTTTGTTATGCCTTAAAAAATGAATTCCAGTTGCTCGTGAACTATGTGGTCTCTGAGGCGCAACGATTGGTGCCAAATCCGGATTTAATCCTTTGGACCGGGGACAACACACCGCACATCGAGGGATACGATATGGATTGTGGGTTTTTGAATTGAATGTACAATTTGTGGTGGGCTAGAGGGAGGCCCGAAATCTGGGCCTAAAGAGAGGCCCCGAAGTGCGGGGGCCCAAAGAGAGAGGCCCAAAGAGAGGCCCCCGTCCCAAAGTTTACGTAACCCTCGAACTCCGAACCAGCTAAGACCTTGGGGCGATCCTTTTATTGACCCCCTCCAAGCCAGTGTGCCAGAAAGTACGCGATTGAGCGAGGGAGGCCCGAAATCTGGGCCCGAAATGTGGGCCCAAAGAGAGGCCCCGAAGTGTGGGCCCCCGATTAAGCGCGCACAGGGTACTCCGTCATTTTGGGAAGAAAAAACGGTACAGGTGGCACAAGAGCAATAATCGCTAAGATGCTCATTAACCTCAAAGATCGTTAAGAAAAGTAGCAAAATTTGAAACAAAGACTTTTCGTGCCAATTCCTTTGGATTTGGCATCCTTTGGACCAAACCAAATCCCGTGCCAAATCCTTTTAATCCTTTGGATCGGGGAAAACACACCGCACATTAAGGGATACGATATGGATTATGGGTTTTTGAGTACAGGTTGACGAATTTTATGAAGATTTGATGAAGATTTGATGAAGAAAATCGTCAAAAATAGAGGTGCATCAACTAGTACTCATTCAAGGGCTTTTAAAATGTGTTGTATATCTCGAATCGGGAAACTTTTAATAGATAAATGTAGCCGAGATTAAGGGCTTCAATATTATTTATAACACTTCATACAATTTTTCAATTTTTAATCAATTTTAATCGATCCTTGGGATTGCCTAGGAGGACAGAGGACAAGTGAGGCTCTCACTTGGAGTCTTTCCCTTTCACCCATTTGTAATCTATTCATTTTATCGTACTACTGTAAATAAAAATACATATCTCTATGCAACTGCAGTTCAGGTCGGTCATTTCACAGGGACTCCTCTCTAATACGGTGGAGGAGTTGGAGAAGTTGAGTTGAGGTTGTCGGGGTGTTAGAGATGGATATCAAAAGGGATCCATCAAAAGGGATCTCTTTAACTTAACCCAAATTCTAGTCCATATCCGTTTACATCTAGGAACGAATAACAGTTTAAATAGATTTAAATAGATCGATGAGCATTCTAAAACTCGAATTACATTCGTTCATTTTCAGATGTTTTAAATGGGATCACGAAAACGACGAAACTTTTATTTACCGCCTTTCCAAATGTGCCGATTTTGCCGACTTTTGGCAATCATGACTACTCGCCGTCAAATGATTTTGTTGAGGAGAGCTCTTTATATAAAAAGGTTTTTCATTTTGAGCAATTTACAAAGAAGTCTAGATTGAGCAAGAAGTCTAGTTGAGCAAGAAGTCTAGATTGAGCAAGAAGTCTAGTTGAGCATGAAGTCTAGATTGAGCAAGAAGTCTAGATTGAGCAAGAAGTCTAGATTGAGCAAGAAGTCTAGTTGAGCATGAAGTCTAGATTGAGCAAGAAGTCTAGATTGAGCAAGAGTCTAGTTGAGCAAGAAGTCTAGTTGAGCATGAAGTCTAGATTGAGCAAGAAGTCTAGTTGGGCAAGAAGTCTAGATTGAGCAAGAAGTCTAGATTGAGCAAGAAGTCTAGATTTTGAATTTACTTAGATTAATTAAAGATTAACTTAAACGACATTTAGACCTACGACACGTTGTGGTCGGAGAAAGTTGGCGCTGAGAATCGGGTGAGTTCTCAAAGGAAACATTGTTGATAGCATTGTTGTTGATATGATTTGATTGATTTCTTTTGAATTTTTTGAGTGCTTACAAAGGTTCAAGGGTATTGAAATACAAGGGTATTGAAAGAAATAAAAAGTGAATAGATTGAATTTAAAAAGATTGCGATAGAATTTAACAAGATTGCGATAGAATAGAGTTGTCAGTTGAATTTAATGACAGAAAAACTAATCGGTTAAAAACCCACTTTCACTTTCCTTATCTCTCTAAATTTGGTGCCTTATCTCTACAAATTTGGTTAGAGCTTACAAAGGTTCAATACAAGGGTATTGAAAGAAATAAAAAGTGAAAAGATTGAATTTAAAAAAAGACAAGATTGCGGTAGAATAGAGTTGTCAGTTGAAAGACAAGATTGCGGTAGAAGGAGCTGTCAGTTGAAAGACAAGATTGCGGTAGAAGGAGCTGTCAGTTGAAAGACAAGATTGCGGTAGAATAGAGCTGTCAGTTGAAAGACAAGATTGCGGTAGAAGGAGCTGTCAGTTGAAAGACAATTGCCGTAGAAGGAGCTGTCAGTTGAAAGACAAGATTGCGGTAGAAGGAGCTGTCAGTTGAAAGACAAGATTGCGGTAAAATAGAGTTGTCAGTTGAAAGACAAGATTGCGGTAGAAAGAGCTGTCAGTTGAAAGACAAGGTTGCGGTAAAGGAGCTGTCAGTTGAAAAAGTTCGGTAAAATAGAGTTGTCAGTTGAAAGACAAAGGCGAAATAAGAGTTGTCAGTTGAAAGACAAGATTGCGGTAGAAGGAGCTGTCAGTTGAAAGACAAGATTGCGGTAGAAAGAGTTGTCAGTTGAATTTAATGACAGAAAAACTAATCGATTAAAAACCCACTTTCACTTTGCCAAACTTGAAACAAACATTTTTTTCACTGGCTTTTCAGGATCGTTTCCTAAAGGGTGGCTACTATCAATACCGTATCCCGAAAACGAAACAGCTTGTCTTGGTGCTGAATACGAATCTCTACTATGTGTAAAGGAAGCACTTTATTCAAAATACTCAATTATTTTTAGCTACAATCAAGCGGCCGGAAATTTCTCGAATCCCTTCGATCCGGCTGAACAATTCAAGTAGGAAACAAAGAATTTTTAAACTTTTAAAAATTTATTGGATAGCCTTGGATATACAAGAGTATTTATTGGATATACAAGAGTTACCGTCTCCTGGATTTTTAGCATTGTTTTATGCATTTAAACAATGGTTTTGAGTATAAACCTTTGCCAGATTACTGTAATATCTTCCAGGTGTTTTTGCAATACTTTGCATTCAGAAGTGACGATCATGATCTTACTTATTATAAGACGCAAAGTTTTTCTGTCCGTTCGTTCACATCATAACTCGAGTTCTAGTGGGAATTTTGGTCTAATTTTTTGCGACAACATGTAATCGACTACGGCGGTTCGGCCTCTCAAATTAGAATTGAAAACTCTTTAACCGTTTTTGAGTAAAATTGGAAAAATCTGATTTGTCGGCAAGATCAAAGGGCTTTGCCTCTCAAACTCAGTTTTGTTATGGAAATTCGTATTTAGTAGTGAATTCGTAAACTGTAGCAAATTTATCAACAACTTATCTACAATTTATCAACAATTAATACCTAAGTTTGCCTCATTTAAACTATATATCGGCTGAAATCAGTCGGTTGTTAAATCCCGGCATTTAACCAGTGCTGGCACCTTTAAAATGACTGTTTCAGCTGGATTTTTCCACAATCTAGTCAATTTTAAAACTCACATTCCTACCAAAATCATCAGAATACTGGCAAAGAGTGGTTGATGTGAAAAACAAAAGAAAAGCGTATGTCCATTGTTTGTTTGTGAAGCATGCTGTGAAGCAGCTCGCCCCAAGCCCCCATAAAACTCACATTCCTACCAAAATCATCAGAGTACTGGCAAAGATGCCCTGCATTCAGAAGTAACGAGTGAGAGAAGGAAAAGTGCCTAAGAAGTGATCGCTAAGAAGTGATCGCTCATAGATCACTATGTATAGAAATTCTTTGTTCTTTGCTTCTATTCTTTTTGTTCAATGCTTGATCCCGAATTCTTAGCTTAAACATGAGAAATCTAATCAGAAACTCCTTCAGAATATCTAGATAATCTTTGCCATCAAAATACTCTAAAGAAAGCAAACGTTTCTTGTTACTGTACGTTGTTGCAAAAATTTTAAATATTTACAGCTACATGGAGGCCGCGTTGTCGGCTGCAAAATCGTGCACAAGTATGCGGAAGAATCAGCGCTTTGGAGACGCCGATTGTGCGAACATCGTGCACATCGTGGCTCATATTGGACCCGGGGGTGAGAGGGGAAAAAAGAAGCACTTTTCAGCATCCCCAATCCCGTAGTCATAAAGCAAACCCCTTCCTCGCATTCACACAGCTAAATTGTGTTGTTTAAGTGTGTCTAAACTGTGTTTAAACTCTTGTGGAGTCAATCGAAAACGTTTAAGAGCTATCGAAAGCTTTAAAAAGCTAAAAAGCTAAAGAGCTGAGCTAAAAGGCTAAAGAGCTGAGCTGAGCTAAAAAGAGCTGAGCTAAAAAGCTCTGAGTTCAAAAACTAGATACAGATTCATAAAAAACAGATTTTGTGATGTTGAGAATTTGACTGATAAAGATAATTCATAAGGCAATCACTCAAGAATGAAAACAAGCCAAGAATGAACACAAGCCAAGAATGAAAACAAGCCAAGAATGAACACAAGCCAAGAATGAAAACAAGCCAAGAATGAACACAAGCCAAGAATGAACACAAGCCAAGAATGAAAACAAGCCAAGTTTGAAACTTGAAACTTGAAATTTCCAAAAATAGCTTAAGCTTATAGCTATAAATTCATAATTAAAATCGTTTTCTTTACTTAAATTCTTAAAAACTAAAACCATTTCAGCTTTTGAAAGAACTCCAAACATTACATGGATGACTCCCTATTACAACAATCAATTTTTGGCAATTCTCGAGAAATATTCGTCGAATGTCGGCTGGATGATTTTTGGCCATCATCACACTGACACTTTTCATGTAGTGAGGGTCGGTTTTTAAATTTTACCGTAATCTACAAAGCTTAGGACATTGCTATAGTCTAAGCCAGCAGCCATAGCTTAGCAACCATAGCTTATCTTAGCAGTCATAGCTTAGCTTAGCAGCCATAGCTTAGCTTAGCAGCCATAGCATAGCTTAGCAGCCATAGCATAGCTTGAGCAGCTATAGCATAGCATAGCATGGCTTAGCAGTCATAGCATAGCTTAGCAGTCATAGCTAACTAATAACTCAGATTTGAGGATTTAAGTTTCAAAGTTACGCATCAATAAAAGAGAAACAAAACAGCAATTATAGCTTAACAAAATAGCTTTGAAAATGAGAAAGGTTAAAGATTTTTCTCTAAGGATTACACCGGTGCACCATTTAACGTCGCTTGGATGGCCCCGGCGGTCACTCCGTGGTTCTCAACACTGGATGGAGCCGGATCAAACAATCCGACTTTCAGGTGGGCGTTAGCAATTGATCCAAGATCGGTTGACACTCATAAAAGTCAACAAACAACAAACAACAACAAATTACATTTAAACTCAAAAGCTTTAAAGTCAATTCGGTTGAAAAATCAACTTTTTAGCCAACAAATGGCTGCAAACCAGAAATTGCAAAATAAAAAGAGAAAGCCAGTAAATATCTTCTATGCTACGAAGAATTTTGTGTGCCAGAACGTTTGCGTTTCTATTTCTGAATAAATTCTTCTGAATAAAAAAAGAAATATCTGTGTGCGATTGCGTGTAAATAATCTAATAGGTAATGCCTTAATTTGAAACATTTATTTCTTTTTTTAGAGTCTACCAAACCGATGACAATACGGGAGAAATCTTGGATTTCACGTAAGTCTATCAGTGTCTATCAGTCTATCAGTGTCTACCAGTGTCTACCAGTCTACCAGTCTACCAGTCTATCAGTCTATCAGTCTGCCAGTCTATCAGTCTATCAGTCTAAGCCAAATCAGTGAATTTTCTATTACGAATTCAGGACATACTCACTTGATTTGGAAAAACTGAACGCAAATGGGAATGAGTCGGCAAAAGTCGAGTACTCGATGAAAGATGTGGGTTTCGTTTAGCACAAGGGCTAAGACTAGCAGAAGGGCTAAGACTAGCAGAAGGGCTAAGACTAGCAGAAGGGCTAAGACTAGCAGAAGGCTAAGACTAGCAGAAGAGCTAGGGCTAGCAGAAGGGCTAGGGCTTGCAGAAGGGCTAGGGCTTGCAGAAGGGCTAGGGCTTGCAGAAGGGCTAGGGCTTGCAGAAGGGCTAGGGCTTGCAGAAGGGCTAGGGCTTGCAGAAGGGCTAGGGCTTGCAGAAGGGCTAGGGCTTGCAGAAGGGCTAGGGCTAAGACTTATCGTTGTTAATGATGAGCGTAGACTTAACAATTGCAATTTTTCCCATTTGCAATTGCTCAAGCATTTAGGCGTATTCACTACAATCCCTTCACCCGCAAAGCATCTCCGATTTGGTGGATCAATTCGAGAAAAGCGATGAGCTTTTCTTGAAGTACATCACCTACAACTCAGCTGGATGGGGAGTAAAGCTGCCCGAGGGAAAGTTTAAGTAAGTTTTTAATAGATTTAAAGTTTAAAGTCTCATCGAATTGTTAGCAAATGTCGATATTCTAATATTGATTGAGCTGAATGATTTGAATGAATGAACGCGGCAATTCAAATCAAAGAAACAAAATCGACTTCGATTTGTCCGTCTGGCTTTTTCACAGCTGTCTTTGAGCTTGAAAAAGCTTAAAAAGCTTAAAGTTTGTTTTTAAAAGTCTTAAAATCTATTATAGTTGGGTCTTTAAGATAACAATTAAATTGAATTGAATGGCACTACGCGGGATCGAACTCGGAGCGGCAAGCCTGACAGATCGATTCGGAGCGGCAAGCCTGACAGATCGAACTAGGAGCGGCAAGCCTGACAGCGGCGATAGACAAGCCTGGCAAGCGCGCTCCCGACTGCGCTACCACGCAACGTGCTCCTGGTGAAGCACGCGGTTACGCTTTATCGGTGAGCGGTTAAGACTAATTGCGGATTTCATCGTCGATGAAATCGTCGGGAGGGCGCTTGTCTATCGGCTATCAGGCTTGCCTATCGCCCGCTCCGGGTTCGACCCCCCGTAGTGCCATTCAGCTTTGAATTTTTATCTTAAAGACGCAACTATATTAGATTTTAAGACTTTTAAAAACAATTTCAAGCTCAAAGACAGCTAGGAAAAAGCCTGTACAGACAGAAAACAGCAAGTCAAATAAATTTGAATCAAATCAATCAGTGAAATGAAAGCAGCGCAATTTCATTAACCTAGCTTTTAAGCCTAGATTTTAAGCCTAGATTTTAAGCCTAGCTTTTAAGCGCCTAGATTTTTAACCTAGATTTTAAGACTAGATTTTAAGCCTAGACTTTAAGCCAGCTTTTAAGCCTAGCTGTTGAAGCCTAGCTTTTTCAAATAAGCAAGATCTTCTTTTGAATTCAGACAAGCCCAACTTTGCTCATTGCGTTTTGCCGACTATGAACGATACTTTCGCTGTATGGAAACTGATCAATCGACCATCACCACGACAACGAAAAGTGCAAACGATTTTTTCTCAATCTCTTTTTTCTTCCTAATTTTGTTAGAAAGGTTTTTGTAATCTAGTAATCTAGGAGAAGATAAAGAGCTTTAAACATTCACAAAAAAAAGATAGAGCGCTTTAAACATTCACAAAAAAGATAAAGAGCTTTAAACATTCACAAAAAAAGAAAAAGAAGCAAGAAAAATACAAGTTGGTGTTTCATTTTTTGAATAAAATCAAGGCTTGCGTCAATTCAGCCGCTTTTATTGTCTTTTTTTGCCATCAATTTCTGGAAAAGTACTGATAAAAGCTTTCAAAGTGCTTGAGTTTTTCGTTGTTTGAATTTTTCTTTCCGAATTCTTTTCAAACTCTTTCCAAATTCCTTCCAAAAAGGCTAGCATGCTTGGGGCGAGCTGCTTTACAAGCTGCTTCACAGCATACTTCACAACCAAACAATGGACATACGCTTTTCTTTTGTTTTTTATATCAACCACTCTTTGCCAGTATTCTGATGATTTTGGGAGGAATGTGAGTTTTAAAATTGACTAGATTGTGGAAAAATCCAGCTGAAACAGTCATTTTAAAGGTGCCAGCACTGGTTAAATGCCGGGATTTAACAACCGAATGATTTCAGCCGATATATAGTTTGAATGAGGCAAACTTAGGTATTAATTGTTGATAAATTGTAGATAAGTTGTAGATAAATTTATTATAGTTTACGAATTCACTACTAAATACGAATTTCCATAACAAAACTGAGTTTGAGAGGCAAAGCCCTTTGATCTTGCCGACATCGACCCTTTGATCTTGCCGCCAAATCAGATTTTTCCAATTTTACTCAAAAACGGTTAAAGGGTTTTCAATTCTAATTTAAGAGGCCGAACCGCCGTAGTCGATTACATATTGTCGCAAAAAATTAGACCAAAATTCCCACTAGAACTCGAGTTATGATGTGAACGAACGAACAGACAAACTTTGCGTCTTATATTGGGTTGATGGAAAAGTCCTTTCCTCCAAGGGTAAAAGCAGAACTTCACCCAAAAAAGACAATGATGTGTGTTTGGTGGGACCATCAGGGCATTCTTCAACAAAAAAAAACAAGAAAAACGAAGGTAACTCGCGAAAAGCGGCGGAAAGGCTATTGATCTGAGGGTCGCTGGTTCGACTTCCACCGGTGACAATATTTTTCAAAAATTTTCTGCTAAGATTCTGAAAATGCGTGTCTAGGGGTTATTTTGGACGCTGATCACGAAACACATGTTTTTAGCCTAGGTTTCTGCACGGGAAACTAACGAAACGTGAAAACAGCTATTTTTGGCTCTGCCGCCCTTTACTAAAATAGCTGTAAAAACTTTTAGAAAAGAGATATCTCAAAACGGTTTTTACCAATCGATCCGTCTTGAATTCAGCTTTAGGATGAGCTATAAAACGTCAAAATTCGACAAATTTAAGGTACTCTCGCAACAAATCCGAAAGGACTTTTCCATCAACCCAATAATAAGTAAGATCATGATCGATAAGATCATTTTATTGATTTTATTGATTCGTTTTTCGAACTCACATCCATTTTTTTCTATTCCTAGCTCACTTTGGCTTGCTGCTTTCGATTAAAAATGACGCGAATCGGTTTGGGAAACGAATTATAAGAAGTAAGGAGTGTAAGAAGTTGTTTTTAAGCGATGCAACTTGTTCTTCTGTAGATTACTGTTATTACTTTACTTATTGTAAAACGGTTGAGATATAGGGATTGAGATATAGAGATTGAGATATAAATGGCATCGGGATTGCAATGGCAAACTTTTTGTAACTCTAAAACCAGGCAAGAGTTAGCAAGCGTTCTTGCCTACTCTTTCCGAGATGCTAGGCTATTTGCTGGACTTGTACAGTGTTCGAAAATATTCAAACCAATCAACTCTAGACCGTTTGGCCGCTAGCCGTTGCGACATTTGATAAAAACCCGCAAATTTGCATCAAGAGTGGACTTCCCGATGGACAGGTTTGCAATGGGAATTTTCGAGTTTCAAAATAAAGGGAAATGGCTAGGCTGGCTAGTTCGGCTAGCTGGCTAGCTGGCTAGGCCGGCTAGGCTGGCTAGGCCGGCTAGCTGGCTAGGCCGGCTAGCTGGCTAGGCCGGCTAGCTGGCTAGGCCGGCTAGCTGGCTAGGCCGGCTAGCTGGCTAGGCCGGCTAGCTGGCTAGGCCGGCTAGCTGGCTGAGGCCGGCTCTGGCTAGGCCGGCGCTGGGGGCTGCTTCTTAGTCGGTGCTCTTTCTTGCGGCTGCTCTTTCTGTCGGCGCTATCTTTCTTAGTCGGCTATCTTCTTAGTCGGCTAGCATCTTTCTCGGCGCCTTTCTGTCGCGCTACTTTCTTGCTTGGTGGGGGTTGGGTGGCCTCTTTTGTAGGTACATGCATAAGAAATGCGGATTTCAACATTCAACTTTCAACATAAATTTCCAACGATAGAAGCCTGATATCGATGAATGTTATAAACTATTTGAAAGTTGTAAATCTCCTCTACAAAATAGGCTAAAAAGTGTTTCAATTGATTGAAGAAATTCAAGAAATTTCGAGGGCGAAATGCGAGTGACCAAAAAAGGGCACTTTTTGAAAACCCCACTTTCACAAGAGTTCCGTTTTGACTATATAGTGGAAAATGAGCGCCAAATCATTCAAAATATCATGCAAAATACCATTCAAAATAATTAAGAGTTCGGATCATCGCATGGGAAAACTTTCTTTTTACAATAATTTTTCTTTTTTGTGAAAAAGCCGGTTTTTTTTTGACAATTTTGAGGGTTTTGAACTTTTGAACTATCTAAATTTCTTTAAATGCATTTCCGTTAGACTTTTTTAATCAATTGATATATATAATTATCCTTTTTTATTTAAATCTTCAATTTTGAGAAGCTAACGCTATTTTGACCGCACTAAACTTGTCCCTAAAGTGACTCGATTCCTTTTTTTGGTCACTCGCATTTCGCCCTCGAAATTTCTTCAATTTCTTCAATTTCTTCAATCAATTGAAACACGTTTTAGCCTATTTTGTAGAGGAGATTTACAACTTTCAAATAGTTTATAACATTCATCGATATCAGGCTTCTATCGTTGGAAATTTATGTTGAATGTTGAATGTTCAAATCCGCATTTCTTATTTACAGGAGGAGATTTACAACTTTCAAATAGTTCAGTCAATAATACAATTTGCATAATATATATCTTTATCTATTGATGTTCACACCGAAAATCCCCAGGTTTAGAGTTACACAAATTTCTATTTAGTTGGTTAATACCAAGTTAATTTAGTTAGTTTAGTTGGTTAAGATTAATTTAGTTAGTTTAGTTTTAGTTAAGATTAGTTTAGTTAAGTAGTTTAGTTTTAGTTTAGTTTAGTTAAGTTTAGTTTTAGTTAAGTTCAGTTTTAGTTAAGTTTAATTTAGTTAAGTTAAGTTTAGTTTAGTTAAGTTTAGTTTTAGTTTAGTTAAGTTTAGTTTAGTTTAATTTAGTTAAGTTTAGTTTTAGTTTAGTTTAGTTTGTTTTAGTTAAGTTTAGTTTTAGTTAAGTTTTAGTTTAGTTTAGTTTAGTTTAGTTTTAGTTAAGTTTAGTTTTAGTTAAGATTAGTTAAGATTGATTAAGATTATTTAGTTAGTTAAGTTAAGATTTAGTTAAGAAGAAAACTCGAAATGAAATGCGATCTTGTGAACGAAACGTGTTCCGGGTACACTGCTTTTTCCCAAGCCAGCAAAGTGATCGTTTTGGCTTTCAGGTAGAACTGTATTGTGTAGAACTGAATTTTATTAGCTAAAAAGTGGAACCAAGAGATTTATCTAATCAAAATTTGACTAAATATTAAAAGTGTCGGCAAATTTTTTCTTTTTGTGATAATTTAAAATTGAATTTTTCTTCTTTATCGGTCGACAAATCCAACTAAGAGATTTATAAATATATACCGTAAATACTGTAATAGTGCCCCACCCCCATAATGACGATGCGGAGTGTTGCGTAGTCGAGCTTTGAACGTTTACGTCTAGCTAGCTTTGTTTACGCAACTCGCCATAACTTTCTTCTAAGTGGACCAAGCTGGACCAAGGGCCAAGTGGACCAAGTGGACCAAAAGCTGGACCAAGGGCCAAGTGGACCAAGTGGACGAAGTGGACCAAAAGCTGGACCAAGGGCCAAGTGGACCAAGTGGACGAAGTGGACCAAAAGCTGGACCAAGGGCCAAGTGGACCAAGTGGACGAAGTGGACCAAAAGCTGGACCAAGGGCCAGTGGACCAGTGGACGAAGTGGACCAAAAGCTGGACCAAGGGCCGGGACCAAGTGGACCAAGTGGACCAAAGCTGGCCAAGGGCCAGTGGCCGTGGACGGTGGACCAAAAGCTGGCCGGGCCGGGACCAAGTGGACCAAGTGGACCAAAAGCTGGACCAAGGGCCAAGTGGACCAAGTGGACCAAGTGGACCAAAAGCTGGACCAAGGGCCAAGTGGACCAAGATTTTGGTTTCATTTTGTAGATCTCAACAAGTGTAACAAAATGACACCAAAATCATAAAGATTGACTTAGAAGAAAGTTATGGCGAGTTGCGCAAAAGACCTACCGTAAATACTGTAATACTACCCCACCCCATAATGACGGTGCGGAGTGTTGCGTAGTCTAGCTTTGAACGAGTTTTTCTCGACACTGGTTTATGCTACAATGCTCGTTTGGGTATCAAAAAATAGCTGAAATTCAGGGCTATTTTTTGATACCAAAGACGTATTTTTTGAAAGTACGGGCGCTTTGAAAGAAGCTGAAATACTAAAAAGCTTTTGCGACTACGCGACTGTACGAGGGCGGTGGGGTACTATTACAGTATTTACGGTATTATTTTTCCTCAAATCTAAAGCTTTCATAGACATTTGGGTTTACAGTAATAAACAAGAGAACGTTAAAACTCTTTAAATTTATGGAAAATATGTTTTAAGAAAATAATTTAAGGAAATTTAGAGGCTCTGAAGGGACGGAAGTACCAATGGAGGTGTTGAGTGTTCTCTTCGAGAAACAGGTTTCACCTTACTCAAGAAAAAGAAACAATCAAAACATACAATCAAAAGAAACATACAATCAAACCAAACCTGATTTCTGGAAACAGTTTTCAATTTGAATTGTAGAAACATTCCATCAGTTCTAGCAATCCAGTTTTAGCAATCCATTTCTAGGCTCAATTTCCTGGCGGAGGCTTGGTGGCCGAGTTCTTTTACCGAGCCTTTTTGGGCATTTGGAATGCCGGGATGAAAGACGATTTCTTGACTCTTCGACAACAATTTCCCGATTATCAAGTTTGGGTGAGTTGAAATGCTGCTTTCTGCTATGTTTAAACAAGAGAATAGCGGCTTTAGCTAAGCTCAACTGTATTAGATAGATTCAGGAAATGTACAGCAATCCTTAGCACTGATAGTACAGCAATCCTAGCACTGATCATCCAGCAATCCTAGATCTGATAATTCAGCAATCATAGCTCTGATCTTTGAATTAAACTCTTACGTTAAGCAAATCAGTCAGAGCTTGGCTAGACGGGTTTCAATTCAAACTGACTAGTAACTTTAGAGTTTAATAGAAGGTAATTATACAATTGCCAGAACATTCCACTAAATGAGGCGCTTATCCAATAAAATTTCAGAAGTTTCTTCATCAAATCAATAAATTCTAGTTTATCATATTCTAAAAAAACTCTCATCAGGCTTACAGTATTTTTGCAGATCTCTAGTAACTACACTGTACTTTTGCAGATCACCGGACATTCTTTGGGTGCAGCGATGGCCACTCTTGCTGCCGGTTTCATCACCCAAAATGGATATGTCTCGGGAACTGAGGTTTGTTTAGTGAAAAATTAACTCTAAATTTCGTTGTTTAGATAAAATTGATCACTTATGGAGAGCCGAGAAATGGAGACGCAACTTATGCTTCAAGGATCAATGATATGGTGAGGGAAATTTGTTTTAAACATTAACGAGTGAAAAATGAGTTTGTTAGCAAAAAATACAAGCTCTGTTACATTTCATTTGATTGTTTAGGGTTTATTTGATTGTCCTTTGTTTATTTGATTGTCATTTATTTATTTGATTAGCTTATTTTTTAAAAGCGAAACTTCTAACTTCTAAATGTTCTAAGAAAATCAATTTTCAGCGCCTTTTTGCTTTTTTTGGTGAAATACCTCATTTTCTTGGGAAAAATTCGTATATAAAATAGCTTTTCAGCTATTATTAATTGAGTTTCACCATTGATAAAGAAAAATGAGGATTTAGCCATTTAATACTGACATAATTGTTAGCAAAAAATACAAGCTCTGTTACATTTCATTTGATTGTTTAGGGTTCATTTGATTGTCCTTTGTTTATTTGATTGTCATTTATTTACTTGATTAGCTTATTTTTTAAATACCTCAAGAATCAATGATATGGTGAGAGAAACTTTTGAAAAACAAATTCAACCTTAAAAATGGATCACATTCGATTGGACAAAAATGAAATTTCAAAATTGATAAATAAAAATGCGTTTAGTGGAAAGCAGTTTATCTTTTATCATTTAACTTTTTGCTTTTTTTGATGAAATACCTCGTTTTTGTGGGGAAAATTAATTGTGTTTCAAGATTGATAAAGAAAAACGAGAATTTAGCCATTTAATAATGACAGAATCATTTTTACAGTTTCTTTCAAAAATAGAATTTCGTTTTTGTTCGTAATTCGTCAATAGTCAATATGTCGTAGCCGATTTGTCAATTCAATTTTCTCGGAGTTTGTTTCGGGGTTTAAGATCTACTTTCAATTTCTTTGTTAAACTGTGCCCGGAGTGCGAGTTGAAGGATCCTAAAGAAGGGAATTGTCATCAGCCGATTGTTATCAAGCCGATTGTCAACACAGGAGCAAAACGAGGGATGTCAAGTCGATCTCATTGATCTAAAATCCGTTCTCGATGGTGATTACAAGTTTCTTATGGTATATCAGGATCACGAACTTCATTCTGAGACCACTGAAATCCAAGATTGCCTTCGAAGTGGTAGAGTCTTTGGCACTTTGGCACTCTTTGGCTCGGTTCGAACAACAAAACGCTGTACTCTTTAGTCGTGGGCGCAATGGAGCGAAAAATCAGCTGCAAAAAGTCGTCAAGAGTTTCCTATGGTATATCAGGATCACGAAGTTCATTCTCAGACCATTGAAATGCAAGATTGCCTTCGAAGTAGTAGAGTCTTTGGTTCTTTGGCACTCTCTGGCTCGGTTTGAACAACAAAATGCCGTGAGCTTTAGTTTTTGGTCCATTAGGCCCCTTTAGTCAGAGCCAAATGGACCAAAAAAGCAACCGCAAAAAGTCGTCAAAGCTTTGATGTGATAATGAACGTTCACAAATAACATGGACACGCAAAACGAGAAATTAATTGGAAAGCACTTCAAGAATATCACGGAATTTCAAAGGAGATTATCGAAATTTTTGTTTGTCGTAGAGTTTAATGGAAAAAAGAGAAACAAATGAAGCCGAATACAAATTAACAAATCAGCTAGCGAAAATTTTTCAAAGCAAATTTTCTGAAATAGCAAATCGGCTACGACATATATAAAATTATTCAATTTGAAACCTTTTTTTTTAGCTTCCCTTTGCTTATCGAGTTGTTCATGACAATGACATTGTGCCGCAAATTCCACTCGACTTGGAAAACTATGAACATCATAGGACAGAGGTTTGTAAGAGAATGATTTTTGAAAGTTGATGGCTTTAAATGTTCAAAAGTTGATGTTGAAAGTTGATGGCTTTGTGAGAGAATGGGTTTCAAAAGTTGATGACTTTAAACTAAAGGGAAAGTATCATCTGCAATAATTAGATTCATTGGCATAGGCTTGAGCTTTAAAGAAACAGTTTTTTTTTCAGATCTGGTACCCAAATGCGATGGCCGTCGGCGATCCGTTTGTCGTTTGTCGCGGGAATGAGGATCGGTAGGAATGACAATTTTTGGCATTGTTTCTATTTAAAAATCAAGGTTTTAATGGAAACGTACTTCTACTTTTTACTTGCTTACTTTTAACTTTAACTTTAACTTTTCAGCAACTGCTCAGCCGGACTGCCTTTGTTGAAATGGAACACCGGCGCTCACACGCTCTATTTCAATATTGACATTGGGAAATACCAAAGAAATGGGTGTATTTATTCGTAGAATTTGGTTCAGATTTTTTGAATAAATGCTATCCTTATGCTTATTATGCTTATTATGCTAGCCATTACAGAGAAATTGCACGGAAATCTTTGTTGACTTCACTTTTTTTTGATCATTCCCGAAAATCGATACTTGCTGGCTGACCAAAAAGAAAAAAACTGATAAAACTTTTCTCGAATATCAATAGTTCTTCTTGTTTCTTGAAAATTAAAGTTTAAGCTTCAAAGAGCACAGCAACAATGGGCAGATTAAAGAAGCAATCTATTGCTACGTTCATTTGTTTCATATCAACGGCTCTTTCTCAATATTCTGACGATTTTTCGAGAAATGTAGGTTTTAAAGTTGATAAAGTGATAAAGATAAGTTTAGAAAAGTGTTGACAACTTTATTTAAAAATGATTTCCAATCAAAATTCAACTAAGGACTTTGTTTTACAGTAATAGCTAAGCTTTCGGGTCATTTATAAATCTAATTTATAAATTTTAGACCATTTGGCCGCTAGCCGTTGCAGCATTCGACAAAAATCCGCAAATTTGCATTAACAGTGGACTCCCCGATGGACAGGTTTGCAATGGGAATTTTCGAGTTTCAAAGTAAAGGGAAATGGCCGGCTGGCTAAGAGCTCTGTATCTTAGTCAGGCTTAGGCTTAGTGCGGAGGCTAACGGCTAGTGCCTCGAACTCTATTTGGGTTAGGGCTCAACCCCCAGATCTCGACCAGTTCTCGGAGCTAAGGGACAAGCGATTTCCCTTGTGCTTTGGAATCCAAGGGGAGTATCCTTGCAAAGCTTTAGGGCGCTCTAGAATTAGGCTTAGGCTTAGGCTTAGGCTTAGACTTAGGCTTAGACTAGATATTGGGTTGTCCAATTATGAATGCGCGTCTTTACTATTTTGTAAATTCCTCAAGATATCGAACAGATGTATATGAGTGTTATATATAATTCGAAAGCTGAAGATCTCCTCTACATTTTGATATAAAAAGTTTTGGAATTTGTCCAGCTTTTGGGCAAATAGACTGCACAGAAGAAGAGGTGGTCAAAAAATGGAAGGGTGCCTTTGGATCAAGTTTTGGCTTCGCTCAAATTGAGTTAACCGTTTGATGTTTGGCCAATAGATATATCAATACAACTTGTTTTTGAATATAACAATTTCAGAGCATCTTTACTTTTTTGGTTGCTTATTTTACACCATAAAACTTGAGGCTAAGCTGAAATGGGTTTTTTCGAAAACGACCTCTCCCTTTGTGCAGTCAATTTGCCCAAAAAGCTGAACAAATTCCAAAACTTTTTTATTCCAAAATGTAGAGGAGATCTTCAGCTTTCGAATGATATACAACACTCATATGCATCTGTTCGATATCTTGAGGAATTTACAAAATAGTAAAAACGCGCATTCATAACTGGACAACCCAATAATTTATCTAGTCAAGGGTTCAATTCTGCTTTGGTAAACGTTTGATGCAAGTTAGAAAAATCATAGTTAAACTGTCCTCAAGGTAATAAGAAAATTTTGAGTTTCAGTTTTTGCTTTAAAATGTTAATGCTAAAAAACAATCCACACCCACAGGTTGGCAAGAGTTGAACTGAACTTTTCCCTCGTTAAAACTAATATTTATCACGTACAATAATTGAGATACATTATGCAAATTAGCCGGGCAATTCCCACAAGATCCAAGATTTTCAGTTGAAGCGCAAAATCGAGGTGAAATGCGATTTTTTGAACGAGACTTGCTCTGGGTACACCGCCTCGTCAAAAGCCAGCAATGGGATCATTTTGGCTTTCAGGTAAACTTCATATTATAAAGGACAACGAAATACTTGAATGCAAGAAATGCAGAGTAATTCAATTTACTTATGATTGAGAATAAGGAATTCGAATCCATTCTTAGTTTTTGAAGAAAACTTTTCTATTTTTGGATATTTTATTCGGTTTAATTACCCATGTTTTAGAGGATTTTTACTGAAAGAAAGAAAAATACTGAAAGAAAAGAAAAGAAAAGAGAAATTACAGCAAACGTTGGCTTTTATAGTCGCAAAAATGTCATTTTGATATTCCGGATACGGTAGCTTTTCCTCAATTTAGCCTTTTGCATAAAAATTCGTGTATAAAATAGCTTTTCAGTTATTATGATGACAAAGTTATCATAGAAGTTGTCACTATTTTAGTGTCAAAGTTGTCACAGTTAAAACTTTAGCGGTTCAACGGGAAATGAAGGACCGTTGGAAATATTAAGTATCCTCTTCGAGAAACAGGTTTGCAGAAAAAAATTTTCTTTTAGCAATCAACTGAGTTGAATTTGTTTGAATTGTAGAACTTTCCATTAGCTTTCCATTAACTTTTCAGTTCTAGGCTCAATTCCCTGGCGGAGGCCTGGTAGCCGAGTTCTTCTACAGAACTTTCTTCAACATTTGGAATGCCGGGATGAAAGACGATTTCTTGACTCTTCGACAAAAATTTCCTGATTATCAAGTTTGGGTTAGTTGGAATTTTTGCTATGTTTAAACAAGAGAATAGCGGTTTTAGTTAAGCTCAACTGTATTAGCTAGATTCAGGAAATGTACAGCAATCCTAGCTCTGATAATACAGCAATCCTAGCTCTGATAATACAGCAACCTTAGCTCTGATAATACAGCAATCCTTGCTCTGATAATGCAGCAATCCTAGCTCTGATAATACAGCAATCCTAGCTCTGAGCTTTGAATTAAACTCTTACGCTAAACAAATCAGTCAGAGCTTGGCTAGACAGGTTTCAATTCAAACTGACTAGTAACTTTAGAGTTTAATAGAAAGTAACTATACAATTGCCAGAAAATTCCACTAAATGAGACACTTATCCGATTAAATTTCAGAAGTTTCTCCATAAAATCAATAAATTCAGACAATTTCATACAGCAATCATAGCTCTGATCTTTGAAAAGTTTGCCTCCAAAACTCGTAGAACAATGTGGGATCTGTAAAGATCTGATGCAACTATCCGAGAGGCTGTAAAGCCTTTCAGATAGTTGCAAAATTGGTTTACAATTTAAAGACAATAACTTTTTGACAATCAATCAGACAATCAATCATCAATCAGGCTAAGCTTTTGTGCAAATTCTCATTTTTGAGATGTTACTTAAACTTTTTCAAACACTCAAAACTGAATTGGTGTTGACATTTACAACTTCTATGACTTAATAACTTCTATTTTTAGATCTAGTAACTACACTGTACTTTTGCAGATCACCGGCCATTCTCTTGGTGCAGCGATGGCCACTCTTGCCGCCACTTACATAACCCAAACTGGTTACGTTTCGGGAACGCAGGTAGTTTACTGTTTTTTTGATCTTGCTTTCCTAGGCTTTCTTATTATTTTTAGGCTTTTTACCTCTTTGCCAGGATTTCTAGAATCTCATTCTTTAGGTAAAACTGATCACTTATGGAGAGCCGAGAAATGGAGACGCAACTTATGCTTCAAGAATCAATGATATGGTGAGGGAAATTTGTTTTAAACATTAACGAGTGAAAAATGAGTTTGTTAGCAAAAAAATACAAGCTCTGTCACATTTCATTTGATTGTTTAGTGTTCATTTGATTGTCATTTGTTTATTTGATTAGCTTATTTTTTAAAAGCGCAACTTCTAACTTCTAAATGTTCTAAGAAAATCAATTTTCAGCTCCTTTTTGCTTTTTTTTTTTGGTGAAATACCTCATTTTCTTGGGAAAAATTCGTATATAAAATAGCTTTTCAGCTATTATTATTGGGTTGGGGAGAATGAGTCGGCGCCGAAAATCAAAGAAATTTCTAAAACTTCTCGCAGACTTCGTCAAATGAAAAGCGTTTGATATCCGTAGAAGGGTAACTAATTCTCTACAAAATAATATTTAAAAGAGAACTCAAACAGCGCCTCAACTCAACAGAAGACCATTTTTTCACAAAATCGATAAACTGTCATCTAGAGTAAACGGTTGGAGGGATCTTCCTGAAAATTTGGTAACTTATGTAATTGAGTGTGCTCTATCTTTTTTATATAAACACCAAAGGAGGTTTATGTGGAAGAAACTGTTCAAGCAATGAGTCGCACTTTTTGTCATTTTGATTAGCTGTGTTTGGGAATCCATAAAATCCCAAAAAAGAAAAGCTTTGTGGAATCTCTCAAAAGCCATTTTGTAAAGAAATAGTGGACCATTTTGATGAAACAAAACGTGTATTTAAAGAAGGTTTTATGGGTGCAAAAAGTTTCTTTAAATTTCGGCGCCGACTCATTCTCCCCAACCCAATAATTGAGTTTCAAAACTGATAAAGAAAAATAAGGATTTAGCCATTTAATACTGACATAAGTGTTTTTACAGTTTGTTTCAAAAATAGAATTTCGTTTTTGTTCGTAATTTGTCAATAGATCTATATGCTGTAGCCGATTTGCTTAGAAACTTTAAATGCTGAAGAAGGAAAAGCCGATCATCAAGTTGTCATCAAGCCGATTGTCAACACAGGAGCAGAACGAGCTGCCAAGTCGATCTCATTGACCTACAATCCTTTCCCGATGGTGATTACAAGTTTCTGATGGTTTATCAGGATCACGAAGTTCATTCTCAGGCCACTGAAATGCAAGATTGTCTCTGAAGTGGTAGACTCTTTGGTACTTTTGGTGCGCTACGGTTCGAACAACAAAACGCCGTGGGCGCCGTGAGCTTTAGTCAGGGCCCAATGGAGCAAAAAAGCAACCGCAAAAAGTCGTCAAGGGCTCTTCGATGTGATAATGAACGTTCACAAATTAGCAAATCAGCTAGCGAAAATTTTTCAAACCAAATTGGCTGAAATAGCAAATCGGCTACGACATATATAAAACTATTCAATTTGAAACCTGTTTTTCAGCTTCCCTTTGCTTATCGAGTTGTTCATGACAATGACATTGTGCCGCAAGTTCCGCTGGACGTTGAGAATTATGAGCATCATAGGACAGAGGTTTGTGAGAGAATGGGTTTCAAAAGTTGATGGCTTTAAATGTTCGAAAAGTTGATGGCTTTGTGAGAGGATGGGTGTCAAAAGTTGATGGCTTTAAACTAAAGGGAAAGTATTAATCATTTATAATAAGTAGATTTGCATAGGATTGAGCTTTAAAGAAACAGTTTTTTTCCAGATCTGGTACCCAAATGCGATGGCTGTCGGTGATCCGTTTGTCGTTTGTCGCGGGAATGAGGATCGGTGAGCATTTAAATACAATGCTTAAATCATCGTCAGCTACATTTTCCGACCACGCATCGATAGGTTCTGATAAGCGCTTTTCGAGATTTCGAGGAATTTAGGCAAAGCTCAGGGTGCACTATTATTAGAGAGAATACGGTATCTGATATTTTTGCCTTGTTACAGTTGAAGCTTCGATTTATTAGCTTTACTTTCAATTGCAATGCAATTGCAATGCAATCAGAAAATTGTAATCCTTTTAGCAATTGCTCTAAGGGAATACCGATCTCAAAATGGAATCCTGGTGCGCATACGCTCTACTTTAACATCGATATTGAAAAATATCAACACAGTGGATGTGTTTATGCTTGAAAGTTTGCTTTTTATAGTTTGAATGCTTTGTTTTGAATGCTTAAATTTGTAAATGAATGCTAAATAAATGCTTTGTTCTTTGTTTTGAATGGTTTGAATGGTTTGAATGGTTTGAATGGGCCCAGAAAGGGAAGGGTCTGTGGTCGACCCCGTCCGATCTGCCAAGTTGAGCAACGTCGGCGCGGGTTAGTCGTGGGTTCGACTCCCATGGGTTCCCCTCCGAGCGCCCCAGCCCGGCCATCGGAGTATCATCGGCTACGACAACTACACTTCTGCCTCAGTAAATGTGGAAGCGGGTTGTGATCTGCGCTAAGTGCGAAGACAGATCCAAATCATTATTATTTTAATGGTTTAAATGGTTTAAATGGTTTAAATGGTTTAAATGGTTTAAATGGTTTGAATGGTTTGAATGGTTTGAATGGTTTGAATGGTTTGAATGGTTTGAATGGTTTATTTTTCTAATCATGGTAATAATATTATTTCTAGATCAACGTAAAATATTGAAAGAGAGAAAATTCACATATTTTGATATGCATTTGTTGAAGAGCACTCATTTCTTGTGTAGTTTTGAGTAATCATATGCGTTTCAAGGGAAATCTCACAAAAAGAAAGTAAAGACAAAAGTAAAGTGGACAAAAGTTTTAGCAGCTTTGAAGATATTCAGGTAAATAGCTCATTTGTTTAAAGATATTCAGCTATATAGCTGACTATCTTTAGATCTAAAGATATTCAGCTGTTTAAGGTAATTTTCCTTAAGCCGCCTTGCCTAGTTTCAGCTAGCCGGCTCAACATGCGATCCTTTACCCTCTGAAAAGACCCCGGATCAACATGGGGGTATAGCTCAGTGGTAGAGCGCTCGCTTAGCATGCGAGAGGTCTGGGGTTCAATTCCCCATACCTCCATAAAAATCTTTTTGCAGGGAAAAGCTTTAATTGGGATTTGATGATATCGATTTTTGAGCCACTAGACTGACTGCTAGACTGCCACTAGACAGACTAAAAGACTTCCCCGACTAGACAAGGGACTTTTTAAACGATGGACAAACAGAGAACTGAATATTCTGAACTTCTGAAGCGAGTATCTCTTTACTATCACAAGTTTTAGAGTTTTAGCCGGCTTGATTCTCATCAATCTTTATTGAAAAGCTCAAAATATAGTATTAAAGCTTGAATAGCTATCCTTATCGTTATGAAGTTTCAAATTTTACCGTCAAATCTACAAAATAGTGTTCATTGTTTGACTACAATTCACCAGCGATTTGCTAGTTTAGCAATTGATCAATCTAACGTCAAAATTCCCCTGAAATCTCGTAAAACGTTTTTCCAATCGTTTAAAAAGTCGCTTGTCTAGCCCAGGAAGTCAAAAGAGTCAAAATTGGCTTAAAAATCGAATCCAGATAAAGCAATCTTTCGCTGAAATCTCGCTGAAGTCCCTGAAATCTCGTAAACTTTTAAAACTTGTCTTCACTAAAAAGAAATTCAATTAAAAATAATAGAAAACTAGGCATTAAAGCTTTAAAGTTTTAAATGCCTTATAAAGCTTTAGAGCTTTAAATGCCTAGCTTTAAAGCTTTAAAGCCGTTAAAGCTTTAAAGCTCTAATGCCTAGTTTTCTATTAAAGCTTTAAAGCTTTTAATCCCTTATAAAGCTTTAAAAGAAAGTTTCTAACAATTAAATTCAGAAAAACAAAACATAATCTCAAAACCGGCGAAGGCAAAATGGATAAGGCAAATTTTGAAAGCAAAAAAAATAAACAAAAAAAATGGTGACTGGATTTATTTTTGGGTAAATTGAATTGTAAAATTGAAATGTAAATTTGGGAAATCTCAATTTTCTTTTGTTTTTCTCAAGAAATATCGAATAGAAAGAATAAAATTTCAATTATTTGGAGGGGGAAATTTGTATCACAGTCGAGAAAAGCTAAAAATTGCGGGGAAATTGAGGGGAAATTGAGGGGAAGTTGAGGGGAAGTTGAGGGGAAATTGAGGGGAAATTGAGGGGAAGTTGAGGGGAAGTTGAGGGGAAATTGAGGGGAAATTGAGGGGAAATTGAGGGGTTGAGGGAAGTTGAGGGGAGTTGAGGGGATGAGGGGAATTGAGGGGTGAGGGAGTTGAGGGGAATTGAGGGGAATTGAGGGGAATTGAGGGGAAGTTGGGGGAAGTTGAGGGGAAGTTGAGGGGAAATTGGGGGAAATTGAGGGAAGTTGAGGGGAAGTTGAGGGGAAATTGAGGGGAAATTGAGGGGAAATTGAGGGGAATTGATGAAAATTGACGAAAATTGACGAAAATTGACGAAAATTGACGAAAATTGACGAAAATTGACGAAAATTGACGAAAATTGATGAAAATTGACGAAAATTAACGAAAATTGACCAAAATTGACCAAAATTTGACGAAAATTGACGGGAAATTGACCAAAATTAACGAAAATTAATGAAAATTAACGAAAATTAACGAAAATTAACGAAAATTAACGAAAATTAACGAAAATTGACCAAAATTGACCAAAATTGAACAAAATTGACCAAAAATTTACAATTTAACATTTGTTTAACATAAAATTTACAATTTAACACACACAAAAGAAATTTGCATAAAGCTAGATTAGTGATAAAGCTATTTTAGCTAGGAAAAGTGACTAAAAAGAGGACAAAAAATAAAAGGCAAAATGCTGCAAAACACCGTATGGGAGAAGTTTTTCGGGAAAAGCTTAAAAGGATCTTTGCGCTCAACGGCGGAGCCCAACTTTTTCCCCCCAACTTTCACCTCATTTTTAAGCACCTTAAACTTGCCCGATCGGAAAGTTTTAATAAGATTTAGTTAGCTTAGAAGGTCAGCTTTCAGAAACTATTTGTTTCTTCAAAAGTTATTAACATGAACTTATAGAAAATCGGGCTGTAAGTAGGTCAAAAACACGGTTAAAGAGCGAAGCCCAATTTTCCCCCCAACTTTCACCTCATTTTTAAGCACCTTAAACTTGCCCGATCGGAAAGTTTTAATAAGATTTAGTTAGCTTAGAATGTCAGCTTTCAGAAACTATTTGTTTCTTCAAAAGTTATTAACATAAACTTATAGAAAATCGGGTTACAAGTTGATCAAAAACTTGGCCTCGTCTACCGCCCGCCGTTAACCGTAAAGGTCCAAATAAAAAGATTCAGAATATAAATGATGAATGCAAAATTCAGAATGTCAAGGTTTAATTGGAAATATTCAGCTAAATACAGTAATATTTGAATTTTAGAGAAATGATATTCAGCCAAAGCCTCAGGACTCGTTCTTCATAGCGCTCGCGGATTCGATAAACTGAAAAAAGTTTTTAAGTGTGAAATTTTTCCATTTCAAATTGGTTATTTAGTTATAAATTGATTAATTTTAGATCTTTTTCTTCATTTTCTTTTAATTACTTAAGTTTATTGCCGATTTTTTGATACTTATTGACTTCAAAAGTACAGAGAAAGTACAGAGAAAGTTTTGACGGCATCGAAAGTTTAAAAGCATCGAAAGAAGATCGATTATATCAAAATCGAGAAAAGCTACAACAAAATGGGTTTCAAATTCGAAAAAAGCAACTATTTTTACCTTAGAAAAGCTTTTTATTTAGTTGATTTCGACTTTTTGCATCGATTTTTGAGCTTTATTTCAATTTTCGGATAATTTTTTCGTTTTTTAACCTTTAATAAAAAAATTTTTCAAATTTTTCAACCTTTTCAATGGTTATTTTGAAACGAATTTTACTAGATGACGGTTTAGTTTGAAGGAAAAATGACTCATTCATTCTAGACACAGAAACAAGTATATAAAAGAGCAGTGTCTGTCCTTCTGCAGGCACTTTTTCTCAGCCGTCTTTAAGCCAAAAAAAAAACTGAAATCTTTCAAAAAAGTCTTAAAATTTAATATACTTCTACCGCATAAACTAAAAAATTAAAAGGTTGAAGTTGAGTGGCACTATGGGCGGTCGAAACCGGATCGTATAGGCTGTAGATAAGCGCGCTCTCGAGTGCGCCACGGCCACAAAACAATTCGACCAGAAAAATCCCCTTTTAGACTGGTTCTGAATCAAGAAGCAAAACAAAAATAACAAAATGCTTAATATTTCGATACAAATTAACTTTAATGGTCCTTTTGACATTGACAAAATATTGTTCAACGAGAAATCCTCTTCTTAGGCCAGATTTTAAGCGCGCTCTCGATTGCGTTCGAGACTTTTTGCAGATGGGTTGCATCTTTGATTAAAAGCCAGGCCTTTTTTGTGTTGCGGTAATTCTTGGTCACCCTGTATATAAAAGAGCAGTGTCTGTCCTTCTGCAGGCACTTTTTCTCAACCGTCTTTAAGCCAAAAAAAAAACTGAAATCTTTCAAAAAAGTCTTAAAATTTAATATACTTCTACCGCATAAGCTAAAAAATTAAAAAGTTGAAGTTGAGTGGCACTATGGGCGGTCGAAATCGGTCATTTTTAAGCACCTTAAACTTGTCCGATCAGAAAGTTTTAATAAGATTTAGATAGCTTAGAATGTCAGCTTTCAGAAATCGTATAGGCTGTAGGCACTATGGGTGGTCGATCGTATAGGCTGTAGATAAGCGCGCGCTCGATTGCGTTCGAGACTTTTTGCAGATGGTTGCTTTGGTTAAAAGCCAGGCCTTTTTTGTGTTGAGGTGATTCTTGGTTATAAATATATTATATATTGAAAAGCTGACCTGTTGAAAGTTCAAGAACGGCATCGATTGCAAGAGCATTGGGTTCACATTTCCAACCGCTTCCTCGGCCGTCTTCGGGATGAAAAGACCCCCGCTGGCTGCTGTAGCGCCTGAAAAACAATCGATTATCTTGGGGGTATAGCTCAGTGGTAGAGCGCTCGCTTAGCATGCGAGAGGTCTGGGGTTCAATTCCCCATACCTCCACAAAAATTTTTTTGTTGGGGAAAGGCTTTAAACGGAATTTAATATTGATTTTTGAGCCAATAAAGACTTTCCCCTAAGACAAAGACAATTTCTAAGCACGAGCACAACGATGGACATACGTTATATCGTGAACAATTCGCAGAACTGAAGAGTTTCTTAGTATTTTCTTAGTTAGCCAACAGAGTTCTTAGTTTCTTAGTTATCCATGCAACAGAGTTCTCAATCAATCACTCCAGTACCCTCATTTGTTTGCTCAACTTTTTCCAGCGTCACAATGCCTTGTGGCAATTGGAGCACCGTGTTTCCATTTGAGGTAGTTGCTGAAAAGACGAATGCTCAAAAAAAAAAGCTATTAACTAGCTATAGAAAGCTATTAACTTTGTTCTAGAGTGCTTAAAGAGCACTTTAAAGTCTGTGTCTGATGAGCTTTAAAGTTTTAAAGCACTTTAAAGCACTTTAAAGCACTTTAAAGCTCATCCTCTCTTTATCTGCTTTCTTCACTGTTTTTTAGCTTTTTATTGAACTTTCTCAAGCATTCTAATGATTTAAATATATAAGAATAAAGTAGAAATAGTTTTAGTTTCAAAATAAGCAACTCGGGCTTGTTAATGAACGATTTGAGGGATTTTTTCATTAAAATTTAATTTCAAAAAAGCTGAAAAGTGTAAATTTGTAATTTCCGATGATTTCTAGTTGTTTTAGATTGTTTTAGATTGTTTTAGATTGTTTTAGATCCTCGTTTTGATCTTTTCTCTCAAAATATATTTCAAAACACATTTGAAAGAATCCCTAAAACACAGTAGAATTTTTAGTAAAACTTTCTACTCACTTTACAAAACATTGCCAAGCTAAAGTCAACTTTTAATGATTTCCTATGATCATCAGGTCGTTTAATGGTCATTTCTGTCAAACAATGAGCTGAAAGCCCAAATCTTTTCTCTTTCTTTCTCTAGAAACAATCTCTCACCTCCAAGCAAGAAAGGAGCCAAAAGAGCGTTGTTGAGTTGTTGATGGGTGATCTGAAAAGGAAAAAAAGATTCTTTCAAAGAACAATAACTACTTTATCATTGTTTTTCCATAAACTCACGCTCTGAATTCTCTGCTGTTCTTCAATTTTCTTCTTCTTATTCTGTTGTTGTTGTCGATTGTTGGCGGCGGCTTTAAGGGCTTCTTTTAACGTTTTTTGTAGAGCGAGAGCTTTTTCTGAAATAAAGAAATGATTTAATTTGGATGATTTGAATTTGGATAAGGAGTTGGATAAGAAGTTGGATAAGGAGTTGGATAAGGAGTTGGATAAGGAGTTGGATAAGGAGTTGGATAAGAAGTTGGATAAGAAGTTGGATAAGGAGTTGGATAAGGAGTTGGATAAGGAGTTGGATAAGGAGTTGGATAAGGAGTTGGATAAGGAGTTGGATAAGGAGTTGGATAAGGAGTTGGATAAGGAGTTGGATAAGGAGTTGGATAAGGAGTTGGATAAGGAGTTGGATAGGAATTTGGATAGGAATTTGGATTAGAATAGCTGTATTAATCCCTTTCTTATCAATTGATTTAAATCTTTCTTCTTATGGACTGCTTTTGAACAACACATTTGTTTTCACTTTAAAACAAATTTGGTAAATGATTGGGTGATAGGTAATGAAAAAATCTTGAAAATAGCCTTGTCGATTATCAATTTCAAAACCCTTTCCAGCCTTTCAAACTTGAAACGTTTAGAGATGGCTTTAGGCTTTAAAAGATAAAAGTGATAAATATATAAAAGATTATAACCGAAACACACAAACGAACCCTTTTCCTTGTGCTCGTCGACGATCTCTTTGATCTCCTCTTTGACGTCTTTCAATTCGACTCCCTCCTCCGAATCCGAGTCATCCGAATCGTCCTGAAAATTTTAACATTCAGCTAGAAAGGATACCGTATTTTCTCTAATAGTTGTGCACCCTGTTCATCGTCTAAATTCCTCGAAATCTCGAGAACCGCTTATCAGAACCTATTGATGTGGGGTCGGAAAATGTACGGAAAATGACGAGGAGATCTGGTGAGGGATTAGTGAGAGGTACTAGCAGTATAAATTAGGAAGCCAGTCATGATTGTTCAAGCTGAACCTGGCCTATGGGAAGCCCTGAGTGTCCGTCAGTCAGAGCTGACTCTAGATCTGGCTAGCTGACTGTAGCCTGTTTTTCTGTCTGCTTGGAACATAACTACCGTATTTTCTCTAATAGTAGTGCACCCTGATCATCGTCTAAATCGCTCAAAATCTCAAGAACCGCTTATCAGAACCTATCGATGTCGGAAAATGTAGCTGACGATGAGATCTAGTCGGGGATTAGAGTGTTGAGCTTCTGCAAAAGCTTGGAAACCGTAAAATAGGCATCAACTCGGCTCGGCGGGGTGCACTACTATTAGAGAAAAATGGTAATCACTGAATTGATTCAATAATGGAATAAAATAGCAAGAAAAAGCCTGTGCCTCTCACAAAACTCTCACAAAAACCTTTAAACTTTAAACTTGTTGTTTGTTGTGTATTGGATTTGGCAAAAGGCAAAAGACAATTACATAAAACAACTAATTTCAACAACAATCTATAGACCAAATTCATTTTGGTACCCATTTTGTTGATACTTATTAATACGTAGCGACGCAACTAACTTCAACAAGCGTTTAAAGGCTTACTGGATTTCGACAACAATCTATAGACCTACTGGGATTATTTACGTTTGAAGAGTTACTGTATTTTGAAACTCAAATATTTTGCTTGGCACTCACTGGATTGTACTCCTCTTCGTTGAAATTTGTGAAGAGAGAGTTCGGGACCATTGTCGGTAGAAATGAGCCGATCATCTGAAATTTAGGGATTTTGCTTTGAAAGTTTTAAAGTCACTTTGGGAAAATTGTTTATTAGGCTTTAGCTTTGGTTTTGGCTTTGGCTTTGGCTTTGGTTTTGGCTTTGGCTTTGGCTTTGGCTTTGGCTTTGGCTTTTTAGGCTTTGGCTTTGGCTTTTAAAGTACCGCCCATTAAAACCTTAAACTCTTATCCATAGTCAACTTTGAAACTTCGAAAAATTCTTGGCTTTTTTTTTTGCTGCATTTGTTAAATCTAATTTACATTTCAAGTTTTATGCTAAAAACCGCTTTCTTTTAGGATTTCATCTCAACTTTTGTATTTTCACCATTCGATTTCACAATTTTTTTGAAATCAGCGATATTAAAACTAAAAATCTTTGCATCAATCGGTGAACTTTGAAACTTGGTTATTTTCATATTTTTATTGCTTCATTTTTAGGTGATTTTCAAATTTTTAAGCTTTAAATCTTCGAATGTTTCTTTGAAAATTTTTTATAACTTTAAAATTTAAACAGCCTAAGCCTTTAGCAACCTTTATCATCATTGAAATAAAGGTTTTACATTCAAGAAGGATTGAAAGGATTCAAGCATTCAAGGATTCAAGGATTCAAGAATTCAAGAATTCAAGAATTCAAGAATTCAAGAATTCAAGGATTCAAGAACTCAAGGATTCAAGAACTCAAGGATTCAAGAATTCAAGAACTCAAGGATTCAAGAACTCAAGAACTCAAGGATTCAAGAACTCAAGGATTCAAGAACTCAAGGATTCAAGAATTCAAGAACTCAAGGATTCAAGAACTCAAGAACTCAAGGATTCAAGAACTCAAGGATTCAAGAACTCAAGGATTCAAGAATTCAAGAATTCAAGGATTCAAGAATTCAAGGATTCAAGAATTCAAGGATTCAAGGATTCAAGAATTCAAGGATTCAAGAATTCAAGGATTCAAGAACTCAAAGGGTTTTACATTCAAGAACTTGTTTAACTCCTTAAAATAGTAATTTTAATTTGATAAAGCTATGCGTATTAAACTTTTAGCCAAAGAAGAATCAATACAAATCAATACAAATCCCTATTTTAGCTTTACTTTTCTGTACATCAAAGCCTTAAAAGATGGATGGGAAAGTGTGTTGGCCATAAAAGTGGATTGGGGTTGAAGAAAAGAGGTGAAAGGGAGGGGAAATCTTTGAACAAATGCCCAGATGTGTGATGGGAAAACTGTCAAAAAGGGCAGACATAATTTATGATGGGCTTTTGTAAAAAAAAGAGTATTCTATTTAAAGAGTATTCTATGGTAAATGTTATCAATCTGGTTGATTAGCAAAATCTGATTTGAATTTGATTTGAATTTGATTTGAAATTGATTTGAAATTTGCTTAAACTTGAAACAAAAGGAAGGAGATTTGTTCAAAAATCAACTCAAACTCAATGAGAATTCAAGATCACTCGTTTGAACAATCTACTCTAATTTAAAATATATTTAAAGGTGTATTTAAAGGTGTATTTAAAGGTGTATTTAAAGGTGTATTTAAAGGTATACATCTATTCAACAGGAATAATGTGAAACAGACTGAAAACCTCTATTTCAAGCTCACTTATCAGCCACTTATTGCCCAATAAATCAGCATTTAGTTGATTGACTTGACACAATCCTTTTCGAAATGTTATGCGGAGTTTGCGTATTTTTGGCTTTTGAATCCTATTTAGACTAATCTTGCATTTATTTCAGTTTTAAACTTTTGAAAGCAAATCTTCTTGTCTTCTTGTGCCTAGTCTTCTTATTTTTTCTTTCTGATATTTCTGATAGTTCAGGAATGAATTAAAGGATTCAGGAATGAAGCAAAGGATTCAAGAATGAAGTAAAGGATTCAAGGAATGAAGTAAAGGATTCAAGGAATGAAGTAAAGGATTCAGGAATGAAGTAAAGGATTCAAGGAATGAAGTAAAGCATTCAGGAATGAAGTAAAGGATTCAGGAATGAAGTAAAGGATTCAGCACCTAATTGTATGTTGAAAGCTAATCATTTCCACAATCCTTTCCACAATCCTTTCCCCAATACTATCCACAATCATTTCCACAATAGTATCCACAATACTTTCCACAATCATTTCCACCAAATCCCCCATCCCTAATAAGTTCGTTTGAGAGAAGGATCTGCTCGACAAAGAGCCCCATTTTTCCCTTGCCTTACACAGCGTTTTTGTGGATCGAGTAAAGGAAAAGGGGCATGGATGGGAATGCGAGCCAAATGGAGCACTGATCCGCGGAGGAAAGGCGAAGTGAATGGAGTGCCCAGAGAGAACAGAGACACTTACACACAAGGCCGGGGCACCCGTAAACGTCTCTGCCCCAACCACTCCCCGACAGCCATAGCCATGTGTGTGTCTGTGTGTGTAAAGTCACCCATCAGCTCTCTCCCTTCTCAACACAAATCCATTTCAAGCCATTTCCTTTCAAAGCAAATGCAGCAAAAGCAAAAGCAAAGGCAAAAAAATCTCATTTTCTGAGATTTCTGTGAGTTCAAGTGCCTCAAAGTGTGTCAAAGAATGTGAATTTTCGATTGATTTTGATTGAATAATGAAAACAATGAAAAACTCGAGTAAATAAAGAAAGTTTCAAAGTTTTGATAAGTAATTGTAAATGGCTTTGGTTTTGGCTTTGGCTTTGGTTTTGGCTTTGGTTTTGGCTTTGGCTTTTGGTTTTAGGCTTTGGCTTTTGGCTTTGGCTTTGGCTTAGGCTTTGGCTTAGGCTTTGGCTTTGGCTTTGGCTTTGGCTTTGGCTTTGGCTCTTAGCTTTGGCTTTTTGGCTTTGGCTTTGGCTTTTGGTTTTGGCTTTGGCTTTGGCTTTAGCTTTGGCTTTGGCTTAGCTTTGGCTCTAGCTTTGGCTTTGGCTTTGGCTTTGGCTTTTGGCTTTGGCTTCTTGCTTTGAAAATCCTAAAGCTTTTAAAATTCTTCCTAAAGCTCTCGCTTTGCCAATTTTAGCCTTGGCTTTGGCTTTGGCTTAGGCTTTGGCTTTGGCTTTGCCTCTAGCTTTGGTTCTAGCTTTGGCTCTGGCTTTGGTTCTTTCTTTGAAAATCCTAAAGCTTTAAAATTTTCATAAAAATCTCATTTTTCCAATTTTAGCCTCACATATGTGGAAATCAAAATCCTAAATCTATAAACATTCGCATTTTTCTTTTTTAAAACGGATTTCCGGAAATTTGGAACAATAAGCTGAAAAGGAAAGCCAAAAAAAAAAGAATCTATTAAAAAGAATCTATTTCATCTATCAAAATCAACACTTCGAAACTCTAAAATTGATAAAAAAATCGATCTTTATTCTTTTTTATACCTGGATAATTGTAATAAACATAGAAATCTCGTTGAGAAATGGTTTTTTTGGGAGAAATTGCTAGGAAACTAGCGTTTAAAATCTAAAGTTTCATCTTTAATGAAGTAAAAATAAAGATAGAGATCTAAAACTCGATTTTTTTCTAATTTAAAACCGAAAAGTCTACTAAAACTAGAAATTTTTGAATAATACCTTTAAATACTTTAATATCAATACTTTTGAATGACTAAAATATCTAAAAACGTTAAAATCATCACGTAAAAAGTCCAAGTTTCAAGTTTGATCGGGTAACGCTGAAGTACGAGTAAATTAATCGTTAGTGATGATCTCTAATTTAATTTTTCCAATTTTCTGAAAACATTCGAAATCTTAAACATTAAAGCGGTATTGTGACAAATTTTACACAGTTTTTCTATTTATTTATCAATATTTTTTACTCGACTCTTGAGGAGACTTTCAAATGGAAACCACGCCTATTTTTCGCCCTTTTATGGGCAATCGACCAATGGCAAGAGGCCGACTGTGATTGGAAAAGGAACAAGGAAAAAGAAGGTTGATGAATCAAAAAAATGCAATTAAAAGCTTGACTTCCGTTTTTATATCAACAAATTTGAAACACTCTATTGTAAACTCAGCTACTAGAGGATTTTCCGAGTTTCCAATGCATATTCAAAGGTTTAGAGAGGTACAAAAATTTCAATGGCAGGAAAGTTGATGAATAAAAAATGAATAAGCCTGAGCCTAAGCCTGAGCCTAAGCCTGAGCCTAAGCCTGAGCCTAAGCCTGAGCCTAAGCCTGAGCCTAAGCCTGAGCCTAAGCCTGAGCCTAAGCCTGAGCCTAAGCCTGAGCCTAAGCCTGAGCCTAAGCCCGAGCCTAAGCCTGAGCCTAAGCCTGAGCCTAAGCCTGAGCCTAAGCCTGAGCCTAAGCCTGGCCTAAGCCCGAGCCTAAGCCTGAGCTGGTGCCTGGGCCTGGTAAGCCGGCCTAAGCCTGAGGCCTAAGCCTGAGCCTAAGCCTGAGCCTAAGCCTGAGCCTAAGCCTGAGCCTAAGCCTGAGCCTAAGCCTGAGCCTAAGCCTGAGCCTAAGCCATTCCCCATAGAAACCAAAAGACAAACCTGATCTGGTGACGGAGCTTCATTCGCTTTCCTCTTTCGATTCCCGTTTATTTGTCCATTATCAAAGGTGAACTCGGTCTTGTGTGGAACGCAATCGTTTTCACCATCTGAAAAGTTGATTCATTGATTCATTGATTCATTGATTAATTCTTGCAAAAGTTCTCCAACTTTAACAATAACGGATTCGAATTCCTCGTCCTCGAAAACCCTTGGCAAATTCTCAGCCAAATAAGCCTCAAAATAGTACTAAATCCTTTGACTCATCGTCGCAAACGTGTCAAAAGATTTTACAGAAACAAAATTTGAAAAGAAGTTTCAAATTAAACAATAATAACAATTACCCAGCGCTGTAATTAAACAATAATAACAATTAACTTGTTCCGAGAAAAACCAACCATCGGCCGCATTGAGGCAACTCTGAATCAATGCTTTCCCAGCATCGCTGCTAATCATTGGCTGAAGTTTTTTCGTGGCAAATGTGTAGACGTGACCCGTTTCCGAAGCCACCAACAACATCACTTGAGTGCCGGTCAGTGTTGACAACTCGTAGGCCTGAAAATGGAATAAGTCTTAGGTCGTTCCGAACTCTTAAATCAGCTTGAATTTGGATTAGAACTTGAAGCTTAGAACTTGAGGCTTAGAACTTGAGGCTTAGAACTTGAAGCTTAGAACTTGAGGCTTAGAACTTGAGGCTTAGAACTTGAGGCTTAGAACTTGAGGCTTAGAACTTGAGGCTTAGAACTTGAGGCTTAGAACTCGTAAATCAGCTTGAGTCTAAAATCAATTTCCTTACAATTAAATGAAATTGAGCATTCTTCAAACAGGAAAAAGGATAAGTTAAAAAAGAAATGTTTCAATTTTTATCTTCTGAACCACGAAAAACATTTACCAATCTTGACGCTTTGAAAACACAAAGAAAAAAACAAAAAAGCAATCTAAAATGCGGATAGTTTCGGAAAATTAACTTCCCAAAAAAATGCGTGTTTCAAAATGTGCAATTCTGAATCGACTTATCGAAATTTAATGTTGAGCACGTCTTCAAAACCGAACCTTCACCTTTGTTTTCTTGGCTGATTGCTTTGAAATTTTGTTTACAAATAGAAATTGGCATTCTCTGCTTGTAGAGAATGTCAATAGCTCTTGTAGACAAAATTTCAAAGAAATCGGCTTGAAGAAATGGTTGAGAAAACGAAGGTGGAATTAGGTTTTGATTCGAATTTTCCCATGTCTAGCCCAAGCTAATCAAATCAAATAATCAAACCAATCAAATCCCCTCACCTTCTTCATAATGCCCGTCTTTCGTTTGCTGAACGTCGTGTATCGTCTCAATTTGTTCCCAATATACTCCATCTTGATCTTGACACGGCCTGAAAAAATGTTTTTCTCAATTTTAATCGAGTGAAGTGCTTGATTGAGTATAATAAGTATTATAATTATGAAATTGAGTGTTTGTCCTCAAGAGTTTCTCATTGATTAGGTTTAATTTGAAACAAAGGAATTTTTTAGCATGGAAACATAGGAATAAAGACTTTGATTAACAGTATTAGCTCTAATATTAGCTCTAATCACCGATTTCTTGCTTAAACACTACTGTTAAACAAGATTGGTTTTTGGCTTAAAGCTTTAGATCAATTTTGTATTGATCAATTTAAGATCTTCTTTGGCTTTATGCAGGGTTTATGCAGGCTTTATGCAGGCTTTATGCAAGCTTTATGCAGGCTTTATCAATTGTAATCCTCTTTAATCACTTCTTTAATCCATTTTTTCATCTTCTTCTTTCTTCTTTCTTTTTTAATCCAATTTACCAGATTTTCTCTAATAGTTGTGCACCCAGAGCGTCGTCTAAATTCCTCGAAATCTCGAAAACCGCTTATCAAAACCTATTGATGTGGGGTCGGAAAATGTAGCTGACGATGAGATCTAGTGGGGGATTTGAGTGTTGAGCTTCTGTGAAAACTTTGGAAGCCGTAAAATAGGCATCAACTCGGTTGGGGTGAACTACTATTAGAGAAAATAGGGTAATTGAATGAATTCATTTAGATATAGCATTTAGATATAGCTATCTTAATTCTCTAGCTTTTGTAGCCCATGTGACAACGTTTTTTGGTTTTGTTTAGATTAGTTTTATCAGCTAACTCTATCCGTTTTATCAGCTAGATGAGTTTTATCAGCTAACTCTATCCGATTACTATTAGGTTAATCAATCAGCCATCGACTCGGCTCGCTAGGGTGCACTACTATTAGAGAGAATACGGGAAATGAAATTACAAATTCGACATTAAACTACAAATTCTCCATTAAACAACTTTGAACTTAAAGCTTTAACACAATTTCTTAAACACAAACAAACCTTTCGTTTTCTTTCCATTTGGCAACATTCCGGGTGTTGAGGGTAAATCGAGAAGTGTGGTGACAGCGGTTGTGGCTGATGTGGGTAAATCTGGAGATAAGGACATCACCCGAATCCCTTTCACAAAAAATAACGATGAGTCTCGGGATTGGTGAGTCTAAAATGTTAAGTTTGTAAGTTTGTTTAAGTTAAAATCAAAGAGAAACAAGAAGTACTTTGAAAGAATCAGAAGCTTCGAAAGCTACAAGAGAAAAATGTCAAGTTTCAAAGATTTGGGAGTAAGCAATGAAGATTTCAGAGTAACAATCAAGATTTGCTAGTAAGCAATCAAGATTTTAGAATAAGCGATCAAGATTTTCGAGTAACCAATCAAGAACTATTCACTATCGAATAAGCAAATTACCTTACTGACTTGAATCTAAATATTCAAGGGTACAATAAGCCTTTACCAGCTTTTCTGATTCTTCTCGATTTGAGAAGAATAACTTTTGTGGAAAAAAGGAAAAAAAACCAGGTCAATTGCCATAATACAGCACATTTACATGCAAGTATTGAGATAGAAAAGAAGAAAAAAATTGAGAGAATCGTACTAATAATAGCCAAAACTCTGAGAAAGACATTTTTTGCGGGGTTTTTCTCTTTTTTCGGAGAAAAGGAGCCGAATTCTGAGAACATTCATTGGAGAAAAAAGAGAAAAACTCGGCCAATGTGTAACCGGTTTTGGAAAATTGCCCTCCCTTCTTCTCATTTTCCACCAATGGACAAAATGTTGGGATACGGTAGAATGATATGCAACCAGTCTAAAAGCGGGGTTTTCTGGTTTTTCTGACTGGGTCTTTCTGTGGTCGTGGCCGAGTCGAGAGCACGCTTGTCTACGGCCCAAAAGATCCGGGTTCAACCCCCCATAGTGCCACTGCATTTTGAATTTTTGAATTTTGATTTTAAATGACATAACTACAATAGGCTCTAAGGTTTTCTAAAGAAATTTTAGCTTTATTAATCAAAACACGGCTGAGAAATGCTCGTAGAGACGGATAAGCTCCTTTGAAGCTCCTTTATGGTTCCTTTAAAGCTCCTTTATGGTTCCTTTAAAGCTCCTTTAAAGCTCCTTTAAAGCTCCTTTAAAGCTCCTTTAGAGCTCCTTTATACATGTATAATAGATTTAGAATCACGTTGATCTAGCAAGAATTCTAATTTAAGCAAGAAGAATTTGAAATCTATTGAAAATCGAATTTATACAGAAAAGAATAAACTTTCTTAAGTTTTTCTGCTTTATGGTATTAGAGGGAGAAGCAATAGAGAACTATTTAGAAGCATATTAATTGATTCGAGCTTTAGACAAGCAAATTATATAGAAATCATAATGCAAATGAAGTCAATAGGCAAATGAAATCAATAATGTAATCAATAATGAATCAATAATAATCAAAATTTTTTAAGTTTCAAGCTTTCTAGGCTTGAGGCATGCTTTGAATCAGCAATAGAATAGAATCAGGTCAAAATCAAATCAAAGAATCGAATCAAAGAATCAAATCAAAATCAAATCAAATCAAATCAAAATCAAATCAAAGACAGACGTAAAATTACAGATTATGCTGCCCAGAAAGTCTTTTAATAGGTTAACCCTAACCAATCTGAGACTCTGAAGCTCTGAAGCTCTAAAGCTCTGAGACTCTGAAGCTCTGAAGCTCTGAAGCTCTGAAGCTCTGAAGCTCTGAAGCTCTAAAGCTCTGAAGCTATGTTTGTATCCAAAAATGGTACAAATGTGGGTGTCTTCCCAGGAATGGTTCGTGCATGGTTGCTTGCTTTTCCTTCTCCGGTGGGGTCCTCTCCACCCTAAGGCTTCCCTGGATTGCACCCCGTTCCCTTATTTCCACCCCCTTCCAATAAGGACTCAAGTCTTTGCCCGTCTTTTCTTCAGAAGAAAAGAGAACGGGTGCAAATATGAAGGTCTCTATGTAATGAGTGGTATTTGAATAGAGGGTTCTCTGAGTGAAGAAGCTGCATGCATCCGAACCGTCTTTCTTTCGCCTCTCTCTTTGCTCTCTCTTTGCTCTCTCTTTGCCGATTTAACTCTTGCATCTCTTGTCGAACATACGGCTTGTATGGATTCAGAGATCTCAAACATTTCCACCCATCAACTTGAGTCTTTAAAGTTCAACGATTCTCAAGGGCCCCGTTTTGGAAATTTGCTGAATGACAACGACAATGACAACGACAATGACAACAACAATGACAACGTGTAGTAAGCAGAGCTATCAAGCTATCTTGTCATCTTGAAAGCTGAGTTTTGAGTCAACTTCTGATAAGATTTTACTAACTAACTTTTACTTACTTACTTACTTACTTACTTACTTACTTACTTACTTACTTACTTACTTACTTACTTACTTACTCACTCACTAACTTACTTACTTACTTACTTACTTGACTTACTAGAGCTTTCCTTATTTATATTAAAACATACATACATAAAAACTCGAATAGAATAGCCCTCTATAAGGAGCGTCGCGTAGTCTAAATTTACTCTCAAACAAACGCTCATATCTTGACACCAGTACGTTTGTTTTTGTTCGCTTAGGAATCAAATTAAACTAGAAAAATAGGGCATTTTTTTGAGATATAACACAGATTTTTAGCATTAACCAGTGCTTAGAAAAAAATTATTGAAAATCGGCTTTTTTTTTGGAGAAACTAACCCAAATCAAATCAAAATCGCAATGAAAAATTAAATTCCGATTGTATTTTGCTAATTATTAAGCCCTTTTTTAAATAAAGAATTGGGCTAATCATGAACATTTAACATTATTAAACATTTACTTAGTTTTGTTATTGAGAAATTGCATGAGGATGCACTACAGAACGCACTCTTTGCTGAAATTAGCTTTATAAGCGATCCATTTAACCATATTCACTTTGAAATAAGTTTTTTTTCTTGAAAAGATTCAAAACAAATACATTTACTAAAAGAAATTAGCTGAATCTATCTAAAAAGCTAAATCGCGTTAAAGCTAAAGCCAAAGCTAAAGGCAAAGCCAAAGCTAAAGGCAAAGGCAAAGCCAAAGCTAAAGCCAAAGGCAAAGCCAAAGGCAAAGCCAAAGCTAAAGCCAAAGGCAAAATTTAAAGGAAAACTTTTTACTAAAAGCCCTAGGATAGGCACATGTGTTCAAGGAAAATGAAAAGAAAGTCAATGAGAAAAGAAAAGTCGAAAAAGAAAAGGTGAAAGACAGCACAAAGAATCCAAAAAAGGTGACCTTTAAAACAGCGATTGGATTGACAAGATGTTTAGTTAGTTAGTAGAAAAAGCAAAAAAGGTTTCCTTTATTTGAAAAGTTATAAATTGACTTATTGTCAGATGTCAGATGACTGGATTCATTGTCAGACTCGATTTAGCTTTCAATTGGATCTTGAAATTGAAAAAACAAGATGATTATATGCAAAAATGATTAGATTTTTGAATAAAATCTTGCTTTAGTAATAAAATTTAGTTGTGAATTGAGAAATTGTGTTAAAATTCGAGAAATTGTGTTAAAATCAACTAAACAACTAAGCACAACTAAGCTAAATGAAAGCTAAATGGCTTTGAAGTTAAAATAAACTTTAAAACAAACATTAAAACAAACATTTGACCTTGATAATAACGTTTCCAAAAGGTAAAAAAAGTTTTCAAAAGGCCAAAACGTTTCCAAAAGTCAAACGTTTCCAAAACGTAAAACTTTATGGATCAAGATCAAAGCTCGATATGGATATTAAGATCAAAAAGAGAAGTGGGCATTCTGGGGTGGGGATGGGCATTGGCGGTGTAATCCTTCCCCGTAAAGGTAGCGAAGTAAAACGTTTCCAAAAGGCAAAACGTTTCCAAAAGGCAAAACGTTTCCAAAAGGCAAAACGTTTCCAAAAAGGCAAAACGTTTCCAAAAGGCAAAACGTTTCCAAAAGGCAAAACGTTTCCAAAAGGCAAAACGTTTCCAAAACGTAAAACGTTTATGGATCAAGATCAAAGCTCGATATGGATATTAAGATCAAAAAGAGAAGTGGGCATTCTGGGGTGGGGATGGGCTTTGGCGGTGTAATCCCTTCCCCGTAAAGGTAGCGAATTACACATCTCTTTTTGGTGGTGAGAAGAAGGGAGCAGACTCTCCCTCTAGCAAAAAGATCAGAAAAATCTTTTCATTTCCAAAAATGATCAGAGAATTGTAAATACTGGTCATCTTGTTTCTTTAAATGATTTAAAGTTAAGAAGAATCTTAGAATATTAGAATAAAGAAGAATTTTAAAAGTTTCAAATTACGGTTAAAAGCTTTTGCAAAAAAGGAGTTGTTTTGAATGAGCCTAAACATTGAATTTAAAGTTAAACTGTTAATTTTTGTTGTAAGAATTGATGTTTTACTAGTAAGTTAACTGCTAACTGTTCTTGTTAACTGTTAACTGTTCTTGTTAACTTCTAACTGTTGTTGTTAACTTCTAACTGTTGTTGTTAACTGCTAACTGTTCTTGTTAACTGTTCTTGACTAATCGAAACTTAAAACCTCATCAAATTGTTTTAAAGACACTGATTCAAGGAGCTTAGATTGAAACTTGCGCAAAATTTATCGAATTTGGCAAAAAACCTGCCTCCGATCGGTCTGAAACACTCAGAAATCCCATAAAACAACTAAAAACGATGTTTCCCCAAGTTTCAGTCCGATCGGCAGTCTAGAAATTGACTTTCATTGGTACCGGTATCGATCAGATCAGACAAATGTATTTAATTAAAAAATCGATATGAACACAAATAGGAAGCACTTTAAATCCTACGGCTCAGCTTTGAAGCTTGATCTTGATCAGAGCTTAAGCTAGAGCTTAAGTTAGAGCTTAAGCTAGAGCTTAAGCTTGATCTTGAGCTTGATCTTGAGCTTGATCTGGAGCTTGATCTTAAGCTTGATCTCAAGCTTGATCTTGATCTTAAGATCAAGCTTAAGATCAAAGTGATCCACTTCTAATCCCCATCTATAGTTTCCCATTGCTAGATCCCTTTATAGATCGATCAGATGTGGTGATGAGACTTAAAAAGAGCGGGAAGAGCATCTGTTCATCGTAAATGGCACGCAGAGAAGGGCTTTCTGCG